GCTGCATGGAAGCTTCCCAAACATTTTAAACTTAGCTCCCTGCTAAGGCCCAGGTTAGATGCCCTGTTTCTTGTGCAATATTTAATAACCCTCCTCTACCCCATTCATTCTTCTTGCTGCCTCTGTCTAGATCCCACTGCATCACACTAGGTAACTTAATCACAGAATGGTTTGGGTTGGAAGGGACCTCAAAGCCCATCCAGTTCCAACCCCTGCCATGGGCAGGGACACCTCACACTAAACCATGTCACCCAAGGCTCTGTCCAACCTGGCCTTGAACACTGCCAGGGATGGGGCATTTAAAACTTCCCTGGGCAACTCATTCCAGTGCCTCACCGCTCTCACAATAAAGAACTTCCTTATATCCAACCTGAACTTCCCCTGTTTCAGTTTGAACCCATCACCCTTGCCCTATCACTACAGTCCCTGATGAAGAGTCCCTCCCCAGCATCATTGAAGGCCCCCTTCAGATAGCGGAAGCTGCTATGAGATCTCCACACCGCTTCTCATTTCCAGGTTGAACAGCCTGCTCCCCCTTTATATATTAGCAGGAATCACTGAGATCATCACAGCCACATGGATATTAACCATTTTCTTCCCTCAAAAGCCCACCCCTAAGGTCTGGAGTAACACAACGAAAATGCAACAACAAAAAAAAAAAGCACAGAAAAGCTGAGCAAAAGGATTGCACCAACCTAGATATGGGCATGAAATCTCAAGTCTGTAAGTCACTACAAAAGCTTTGTTTGGGTGTCAGCTAAAATAGAACACACCCCTGATTTCATACTTTCCCACTGCAATCCCCAGACTATGCTACAGCTGGTTATTATGACATTAAGTTATTGCACCATGAAGCTTGATGGTATGTCAGAGAACTGGCACCACTGTTTAAGTAACCTGTGCTGTTAGGCAGAAATTCAGTCCCTCCCTTTTCATTTTTTTTTAAATAATAAAAATACCAACAACAGTATTTGAGAAAAAAAAAAATCAGTATCACAGATTTTACTCATTTAATAGCCTAGCCACTATCCTTGTGCAGTTCCCAATAACTGAAAGGTAGTGCAACTACCTTCTTGCATTTAAAGCATTTCACTTCCAACACCAAAACCCCTCTAAAAATACCCTTTGACAGCACAAATAATCAGTGTTATTTACTTGAGTCTTATAGTTCTGTGACTATTGTGAAATTCAGGGGATTTTAGAAACTCAAAGTAGCATTAAAAACTGTAGATAAGATCCAGGGGTGCCACTGACATCGCACCTATGTTACTAGTTGTTGTGGTTTAAGCCCAGCCAATAACTCAGAACCACGCAGCCGCTCACTTACTCTCCCCTTCTTTCTTCCTCTGCTCCCAGAGGGATGGGGGGGAGAATGGAAAGAATGTAACTCCCACGGGCCGAGATAAGAACAGCCCAGTAACTAAGGTATAACACAAACCCACTACTGCTACCACCAATAATAATAATGATAAGGGAGATAACAAGGGAAGAGGATACAACCACTCACCACCCGCTGACTGATACCCAGCCCAACCCGAGCAGTGATCTATCCCTTCCTGGTAACTGCCCCCAGTTTATACAGTGGCCATGACGTGCTGTGGTATGGAATACCTCTCTGGCTAGTTTGGGTCAGGTGCCCTGTCTCTGCTTCCTCCTGGCTTCCCCTCCTCCCTGGCAGAGCATGGACTCAGAAAGTCCTTGGTCAGAGTAAGCATTACTGAGCAACAACTAAAAACACTGGTGTTATCAGCATTGTTCTCAGGCTGAAAGTCAAAAACACAGCACTGCACCAGCTACTAAGAAGGAGAAAAATGATTGCTATTGCTGAACCCAGGACACTAGTTAAACTGGTTATACAGGTACATGCATTTCAAGGAGAGATTATCCAGCTACTTAAAGGCTGTGCTCCGTATGGCTACAGAATCCAGGAGACAGATTTATGATCCCAAACCTGCTTCAAATCCATTTGCAGAAGAGCCAGTCACAAGATACAAGGAGAAAATAAAGGTTTCTCCTTACCTGTGAACACAGGCAACTACCACCTGCCATTACAGGCCAAAAATGTTTGCCAATCCCAACACATGGCCACATCTGCATGGATAAAATACCTGGAAGGGGCTACTTAAAAACAGTTTACACCTCTTTTGGAAAATGTTCACTGCAAACAGATCAGATTTATATGAAACGATTTCCTTTGTGTTTACCTCACTGGCAGATTTCACCAAGATCAATGAGTAAGTCAGAACAATCTTACTAGCTCAGATACAGTTTAGTTCCACAGAAGGAAGAGGTTTGAAGCTGTGCAAAAGAATAGTTTAAATTTATTATTCAGAAACTTGAACAAAGCTCTGAATGTGGGCATGCTCATGCAATGCTAGCAGCCCAAGAACCAGGCAAAACTGGCATCAGCTCATAGTACTCAAGCATAAAATGGTTGGTATATGGAACAGTATCAGTAAGATTAAAGTAAGATTAAATTAAAGCCTTATATAAAGAAGTGCCATGGGTTTGTTACAGACTTCTAGGTCTGCTACAAGTACATAAGTTGTTCCAAAGAATAAAATACAGGTAACTTCATAGTACAGACCTCAAGGTAAGAGTCAATTGCCTAATGCAGAAGTTTAGCAATATTTCAAAAGCATCTCTCTTCAGATCTCCTTTACATACTCCTGTTGCAGCCACACATGCTGCTTTTAGTCTTCTCAACTCTCTAAACTTGGGCAAGTCTCAAGCAGCCTGTCAGCCAGCCTCCCTTTTTCAACCAGCAGACATTTAGATCCTCTTTTTTTCTGTAGCCTGACATATAGGCAGAAACATGAACAATGGAATTATAGGACTCACACTTTATCCCAAAGTGAGTTTAGGCATTAAAAAAAATCAAAATCAAAATCTTCAAGCAAAGTACATATTTTACTTCAACGGATTTTAATACCCTTCTGCAATCAGTACAATTAACTGCGAGTTAAATAATAACTTCATTTCCCCAGAGCCTTCATTTCTCATTAATAGCAAGACTGAAAGGATCAAAAACTCTTGTCAAGATTTAGCAGATACAGTTATGACAGTGATTGGTAGACTAAGTCAAACCATGATAAAGACAAGTCAGTTAAGTTATTAATAATCTATCTTCCTACTGAAAGAATTGTTTTCAAATTAATATTATCTGAAGTTGAAAGTACACTCATCTTTCTAAAAAAAAGATTTAAAGACTCCAACAAACATGATACTGTCTTTTCAACTTGTTCTAAGCTGGGAAACAGAAGTTTATGTGAACAGATACTCTACAAAAACTTAGGGGCTTAACTATTCATTCATTTAAAAGACCCTTCCTCTTATTGAATCTTGCACTGACACAAGAAAGGCCGAGAGTCCACTAATTAAATCTTACCATAGTAAATTAATTCCCTCCCAGAGTACACAATGTAAGCAGAACTGTACATACACCTGATCCACCCCCTTTCTCCCCTCTATATATCTTACATTTCAGGATTGTTTGCTGGTTTTATTTCAACAACAAACTATCTATATTTTTATTTAAACAACACTTGTTGAAATAAAAATATAGATAATTTCTTCAATGCCCTGGTACAGAGGGAAATGACTCAGGAACATACTCTGTTTTAAGCCTAGCTTCAAGTTCCTCATTTGCCCTTTAACTACTTTTTCCTTTCTCTCCGCATTTGAGGATCTAACAATATAGTAAAAAGGATTCTTTGCACCATCTCCCAATACCTGAGCACAATTGCTTAAATTCTTGTTGTAATTTTTAACAGGCATTCAGAGATCACTTTAAAATCCTAGGTTGCAGCATAATATCTGTCTTTTCAGCCACTCTACCTCAATAAAACTGTGCTCACCTCGATTGTCCTTGTCAGAGTTCTGTCATAATGAAGAGAATTCTAAGAACTCAAGGCCAGCAAATGCAATTTGCTGTATGCAAATTCAGTATAAATACTGAAAGCTGTGCTATCACATAATGGGTGTTGAAGATCTCTGTAGAAACAGTCAAACTGAAACTACTGGATCAGTTAAGCAAAGGCACGTGCCCTACTGTTCCTAATACTTTTAAGTAGCTTTAACATAAAAAAAAAGCTATTTTAATGATTAAGACAAGCTTTACTTATTTTACCCATTGCTCTAACCTTCAAAAGCTCAAGATGTTATCTACTACTAGGAAAAAGGTGTTAATTATTCTTGCTTCATTAGAAAAAAAAAAGCCCAGTGGTATTTCAAGAGAGAATTCTCAAACACAAATATGAAGAAAATACTAAATATTGTGAGCAGTCTCAATGTTTTTATGGCTTTTGATAAACCAGAGCCCTCAACTCTTATGGGGAGTTGCAAAATCTACCATCTGAAAGGCAGCATAAAGAATTAACTCCAAGACCCTGGCTAACTGAGACAAGTAAGCAAGAAATGTTACTTCTTCTTTAGCACTCAAATTACCTTAAACTTCACCCAACCCAATGGTTTCCTACTGCACTAAAAGGCAGGATAGATATTTTGACATTCATATAAAATCAATAAAGAACAGGAACAAGCTAAGATGAAGATGGAAGGTGACAGACTATTAATCGGCAGTTATCAGGCTCAACATAAAATGGCTGCAAGTGATGCAAAGGTACTTTACCACAGAAAGAAATAACAATTACTAAGTGCACTGCAATGTGGCTGGCTGCATTCTAATGCATTCTATTAGAGGAACATTCTAATGTTCCTCTAATAAACAGAAGAGAATTGGTTAGAACTACTGCTGAAGCCTCACTGCTCTTCCTTTATAAACCATATTTATCCTCCCTTTCTCACAAGTCCCACTTTAATAAGAACTAAGGTCTTTATGACAGAAGCCCTGCTTCTTACAAAAAAGCATGGAACTCAAAATTGCTAATGATTCAGTTGTGTCTCTTGCAATTCTCCCTCCTTTCAGGGGGAAACAATGCACTATTACTATGTACGGTCCTCAGCATTTAGTTTTTGAGGACACCCTACAGAAATCTATCTTCCCTTTGCACCTCTATTGGAGAGGCCTCTTGTCAAGCTAACATTCCAATAAAGACTGAATGTTAATCTCCAGATTTCACCTACAGTTTGTCTCCTTCACAAGAACAGGCCAAAAGTCTCTTTTTCTGTTTATTTGCTTTGTTATAAATGCTTCAATTCTCCCTGTCTCAAGATCTTAAGAGCTGTTGCCAGGTGGTTTGGGTAGAATCACTAATGTACAGCCTTAGGTGAGTCAAAAATAAATACTACTAATTTGAGCAATCATTCCTCCACCCCTTCACCAGTCAGCAGCAGCAGTAACTGGTACAGACCCATCAGTGTTCCACTACAATATAGATTTTCAACAAACCTTACATTTTAATCAATAAAGCACAGTCCACTTGCTTTGTTGATGAAAGTGCATTAGAGTTCCTGCTTCTCTCCACTAACCACGGTGGAGTCAGATGCAACAGGAACTTTATTACTTCCAGCAAAAACAGAATCAAAAGCAGCTTCCTGCTCCTCTAAAGTCACAGTAGCAGTGGATCCTCTAACTGATGTGCTGGGAAAGGCTTGCCGTTGCTCTGTAATCCTTTCCAGGTCCACTGTTTTCCTACCTCTTCTTTTGCCCAGGATTTTGATGTAATTAGCTGGCACAAGTCCTGTTGTTTGGCCATCGTAACTAGCCAAAAGCCAGCCACGGATTTTGGGTTGTTGTTCTGAAGAAGAAAATGAAAATGCACAAAGTTACAAAACAATTCAAAACACACTGCAGTTGAGGCACAAATACACCAGAAGGCAGATGACACAAGAGCTCTTCACGGAGAGAAAATAACTCTGTGATAAAAGGCGAATACAAATTACTGCACAATACCAGGATCTGCAATAAGGAGGTGAGCTAAAGAGTACTGTGAAGTGCAGCTTGTTCTGAAATCAATGACACTGCTTTAGTGCAAATTCCTAGGGATTTTCACAGTTGTGCAGCACGTGTGAGGAAAAGGTAATGACAAGAGTAACCACAAAGCACTCCCTGGGTAACTGCAAGCTGTGTTCTATCTTCAGATACTCAAAAAGTTTTATCACAGTGCAAATAATAACTTACGGGGAGGGAGAAATCAGTGTGGATGAGTTTAGACAAATAAAGTGGTGGGTTTTAACATTTTCAGGCTCTAACAATATGACTTCGCATGTGATCAGAAAATAAACTCAATTTAAAGTTTACCTTTGGGCGCTAATTTTAGCATGTCACCAGCACGGAAAGAAATTTCTTCTTCTGAGAGAGCACTGAAGTCATATTCTGCTCTTCCAACTACATGGTCATCTTCTCCGCTCGCCCAATTACTAGATACTGTTTCCAAAAAAGAAATTAAAAGTTTATGTGCTGTGAATTATAGAGTTTGGTATTTTTCTAGAAGGAAAATTAAGGAAACACTATAACTTGCTTGCTAAAATGTTTCCAATGGAGAATTGATAGAAGTAACAAAGCATGATTTGTTGAGTCAATCCAACCAATACTTTCCCTCCCCTCCCCAGCTGCTACATCTAATGGAAAGGAAACAGAAAGGAACCATGACTTTGGAATCACACAAAAAGCTTACCATGAAACTGCAGCCTAACTCAACAACAGGCTGCTATTGGCTGTTACTTGTATCACATGCCTAAAACGTGTATTGTATCCCAGTAGCTATTAACTTCTATTACTGTAGTATAAGATTAATCACTCTGCACATGCTAATGAAAAGAACAGTATATGCCACATTTCACTTGTGCTGCAGATCTTTACCTGTTTCTTCATCACTGTAAGTAGAAAGCAGTTTCCAAATGAGATAGGGACCTCCCATTATAACCGCAAAGAACAAGAAAATAGGCCAGGATTTTGCAGAGTTAGCCGCCTTGTCTTCAAGGCCAACACGAGCCACAGTCCCCTCACTTTCAGCCCACAGATCCTCATTCTCAGAGCTCTTCCGCAGACCTAGTAATCTCTGAAGGCGTTGGTAGAGATACTTTATAGTTCTCACTAAAGCAAAAGCTGAAAAGACCTTTGTGAAGTGTACTTTGAGGCGAGAGAAGTGATTGGCTACATCCAACACAGCTCTGAAACTGTTGTATACAGCTGAAAAGGTAGCATCCATCATCATGCTGACCGAGGCAAAGGCATGCACAATACTTTCAATGGACTGAAATGCACCTCTGCTGCTTTCTTCAGCCTGCTGAACAAACCTGCTGGGAGGAATATCATCTGCACGAAAGCGGTTATAACCCAAACCACCATATCCATAACTGTAAGGACTATAGCTTCCATAAAAAGAGGTTCCATATGAACCATAGCCTGGAGAAAAAGAACTACTATATGCTGGCCTGAAAGTGTTCAGACTACTGCTGCCCGTTTGCTGTGATGGTCTTGGCAAAATAGGTGGAGGTATTCGGGCAACTGTGGGTGGTCCAGGTCTGGTCAGCAGGTTATCACCCAAGTCAGCAGACCTAAACAGATTCAGACAAACAAGATCAGTACTCAAAATAAGTTTAGAGTTTCCTTTCCTCCAGAGCTCTTGGCTAACTATATAAATATGAAGGTATATACACTTTATAACAATATAAATATTAAAGCATATAACTATCTAAATCTCAGTAGTGCTAGGATAGGGAATCTGGTAGGCACTCGGCTTGTTGCACAATGTTTGTGGGAAGCAAAAACTCCAGTCAGGAAATACAGGTCTTCAAGGAATAAAAAAAAAAAAACAACATAAGATATTCAGTGTAAATGTTTAACCACAGCATTTCTGAAATGCACATGTGGAGAAACTTTCAGTCTATTTATTGTATTGACTAAGAACGCATGAAATGTTACATCCAGATTCATCAAACCTCATGCTGTAACACCCAGGTAATTTTTCTGCACATAAAACCTTTTCACGTGCACTCCCAAGAATGTTTACAAACCTTTCAATCTGAATTGAAAATTTCAATTGCATTTCCAATACTTGTTCTCAGCTCTTCTATACAATGAACCAGTGATACAGCAGGAAAGAAGTTTGAGAGCTCCTTTGAATCACCCTTAGAGAAAAGGGTGGTGTGACTTAATTGAGGATCTCAGTAATTATACAACATATACAAGGGCTTTGGTTCCCCAGTTTTCCCCTCTCCCTAAACTATCTAATTACCTTTATGTAGCATGTCAAGGGATTGAATCTATTACTGTTAACTGCTGGCAGAAAGAGGTATTATGAGTCACGTAACTGTTTTTAATTTAGTAAACTTTTATCCCTTTCTATTTGTATATTGTTCTATCCCGTAAGTTTAAGTAATTTTATATATGCTCTTCATAATAACACCGCAAGCACTAGACTGGTATTTGAATTCTGTCAACCAGCTGTCCAACTTCTGCTGCTTCATCAAAAAGCTAATCACAAATTATCATCCTAAAAGTAAAAAATGTTTGTCATTTCCTATGTTTACTGCCTCATCCAATGACTTTCCACTTCTGTAGCCCACTGAATTCACAGGAAAAAGCCATAACCAACCAAAAAAAAAAAAAAAAGTCAAGTTTGAATTTCTATGAAGCTGCTTCTTTCTGCATTGCTTTCAGTATGAAGCACACTTGCTATACTATTTGTCTATAAGATAAGGCACAACTTCCTCTCAGCAAAACTTACAGGTTTCCACAGTAAAGAACAACATTTATATCTTTATACTGCTTGTTTTTTCTTCCCCATCATAGAGTTTAACTCTGTTAACAGTTAAAAAACAGAAGCAAAAGTAAATTATTATCACAGAAAACAGAGGTACTACACCTTAACTCACACCACATTCCCCTCCCCACTAGTTAACTTAGAACACCTCACTTTAAAGCTGCTTGAATTGATTTAAAATGAGGTAGATAACCTCACCAAGAAAAATTAACTTCAAATTTCTTGCTCAAGAAGCTTCAGCTTGCAGGGAAAGCAAAGCTGCTGTTGAGTGCTTAGTCTTGGGCCAGCCTTTTGCCTGGTTTCAGCTCACTCTAATTGCAATCGCCAGCACCAAATGAAAACCCCAACGTAAACAAGCTTTCCTTGATTTCTAATTAAAAAGGAGTTTACAAACACTTTCTGTACAACATCCTTCTCCATGAGCAGGGTGGATTTTCTGGAGGAGCTCAGATTCCTGGGTGAACACACTGGAGACAAACATATACACACATATTTTCCAACTCCTGAGGATGACACACAGCTTCTCCATTCCTACAGAGGCACACATGCTCACACTGCTGTACACTTCCCAGTAATGCACACCCACACTCTATCATAAATCACAGGATGGTCTGGGTTGGAAAGAAACTTAAGATCAGTTCCAACCCCTGCCACGGGCAGGGACACCTTCCACTAGAGTAGGTTGCTCCAAGCCCCATCCAACCTGGCCTTGAACACTGCCAGGGATGGGGCAGCCACAGCTTCTCTGGACACCCTGTGCTAGCGCCTCAGCACCCTCACAGGGAAGAACTTCTGCCTTAGATCTAACCTGAACTTCCCTTGTTTCAGTTTTAACCCGTTACCCATTACCTTGTCCTATCACTACAATCCCTGACAAAGAGTCCCTCTCCAGCACCCTTGTAGCTCCCTTCAGATACTGGAAGCTGCTCTGAGGTCTCCACGCAGCCTTCTCTTCTCCAGGCTGAACAGCCCCAACTTCCTCAGCCTGTCTTCATACAGGAGGTGCTCCAGTCCCCTGATCATCCTCGTGGCCTCCTCTGGACTTGTTCCAACAGTTCCATGTCCTTTTTATGTTGAGGACACCAGAACTGCACACAATACTCCAGGTGAGGTCTCACAAGAGCAGAGCAGAGGGGCAGGATCACCTCCTTCGACCGGCTGGTCACACTCCTTTTGATGCAGCCCAGGATACGGTTGGCTTTCTAGGCTGCGAGCCCACACTGGAGTTGGCTCAGGTTGAGTTTCCTGTCTACCAAAGCCCCCCAGCCCTTCTCCTCAGGGCTGCTCTGGATCACTCCTCCCAATCTGTAGCTGTGCCTGCAATTACCCCAGGTGTAGCACCCTGCACTCAGACCAACTACCCACTCATGGCAACAATGAAGCTCTTCCTTCGCCTCATTAAACACGCAGCTTCCTACAGCCACAAGCACGGCTGGGCAACAGCTCCCTCTCCCTACCAAGAACCGCGATCCACCACAGACCCTCCCCAGCGGGCACACAACGGGATAAGCGACCTCAAAACACCCCAACAGATCACTCCCCCTTCCCCAGGGCCACCCAAACCGACCCCACCTCAAGCTCAGCCCAGCCGGAGGCTCAGCCCGGCTGGGCCCGACCTTTGAGCTCGCCTCAGGGCAGAAGGCCAAGGCGGGAGGCCCGAGGAGGGGAAGGCGCAAGCAGCCGCCCTGAGGGGAGAGCACCCAGCCCCGCCACAGGCCGCGGACACCCGGCGCACGCACTCACTGGAAGGCCGGCGCCACGCCTCCCGCCAGCCGCCGGCTCTCCCATGGCTTCGGCGGCGGCTGCGACGCCATCTCTGCCCGCCTGCGGGCCCCGCTCTACCCCCGGTCCGGCTCGGCTCGGCTCGGCTCGGCCCGGCTCGGCCCGGCCCGGCCTGCCGCGCTCCGCCGCCCGCCCACTGCCAGGCGCGATGCGGGAGCGCCGAGCTATTCACCAGCCGCTGTTCCGCGGCACGGCTTTCCCGCCGCGCCGCCTCATCGATGCGCTCTACCTTGCCGCTGCACAAGCCTGTGGCGCGACGGGTTTGGGGGGCGAGGCCCCGTGCGGAGCGAGGGGAGCCGTGAGGTGATCGCTGCTCCCCGGGAGCCGGGCGGAGCGGAGCGGGGCGGGGGGGGCGGTAGCCGCCCGGAGCCCATCTGCGGCGCCTCCGGCCTCCTGCGGGAGGGGTCCCTGTGATGAGAGGCCCCCATTCACTCCCTTATCCCCTCGGTTGAGCCCATGCGGGGGGACTGTAATGGTTCTAACGGTCGGGCCCGCGCTCGTGTGTGTGTGGGGGGGTTATGGGGTCCCCTCACCGACACCTGAGGTCCCGGGCCGGGAGCGGGGGTGCTTCTCGCCGCTGGTCCGCTCAGGGCTGGCCTGGTCACTATCGCGACTAATGTCGCGATAGCGGGTGGGGGGCTGCGGGGTGATTTGTGTCGGGTGTCGGCGGGGAAAGCGGATCAGTGGCTACCGGTACCTGTTATCTCTGCCGGGCTGCGGGCGTTCGGCGCCAGTATTAAATCCTCGTGGAGGGGAAAGGTTTCTTATGGCGCTTCTTATTTTCTTGGTAGCGTGAAACACAGTTGTGTTAAATATTAAACAGTATTCACATCTTGTCAAGCAGAATCGAGCTAAGTTACCTAAAAGCATACATTTTTTCTTTCTTAAAAGCAAGTTTGAACTTTTCTAGATAGTCTTTGTTTTTTACAGGTTACCATAAAGAATCCCAATCCAGGAGAAGATAAATTAATTGAATTATTAACTTTTCCCATGTTGTGAAGATTTTCCGTGGCTATTTCAGCACAAGGCAGGCACTCCTGAGTAGGACAGAACATTAGAGGTGTAACAGGTTGTGCTAGTGTGGAGGACAGCAGTATATGCTGCCTCTACAGCAGCACTTGCAATACAAAACCATCGAACAGGGAGTCACATCAAGTGTTGCTGACAGGAGCTAAGCCCCTAAATGAATTCGGGTGGTTCGTCTGTCAGTTGGTATTGTGGAATTCCTTGACAAAGGATTTAGAAGCAAAACAATTTCAGAGAGACACTGAAGGATCGAAGGAAAGTGCTGCTCAGGTTTACCAACAGCCAAAGCATGCTAGGGCAGAGGAATCCTCAAACCAGCAGTAACTGGAAGCAGAGAGCTCTTGGCAGAGGCACGTGCCCTGCGCACACAGATCTTCCTGTGGCATGTGTTTATCCCTGCTTTGGGTGACAGTAGGCTGATTCTTTGGTCTGAACAACTGTGGTTATCTTATTGCCTCCTAATATTTCCTTGATACCCAGGAAGGGTGAACAGATCACTGGGAATCTCTGTTTTTCAATAACTTTCAAAGTTCAGGGATCTATCCTATTATTAAATTTTGGTCAAAGAAATTAGTCTGTTCTAAAGCTCTGGGCCGAGAGAATGACAGGAAGGCAAATTAGCCATCATCTTGTAGGAAATAAAAGCATTATGAGGTCTCTCACAAAAGCAGGAGTCCTATATTTGAGATGGGAAATAAGAATCTTTCAAAATTGAAGTGTCTGAAGGATAGAAAAGTCTTCCTTTGGCTTTGGGGCTTTGTATGACCAAAGGTGGCGGCACGTTTTTGGGGCTTTTTTATTCCCTGTGATTTTAACATACTGATTCTTCAGTTGCTGCAGTTTGGAAGGAATTTCCATTTTACATTGGTCTTAATATGTCTTAGCTCCACTCTCCTTCATTCAGTAACTAACACCGTGTCATGTAGTGCACGTTACTAGAGAGAAAACCAATGGCAAAAGCTCAGCACACCTTTGTCGGAACACTGACTTCAGGTTTTTGTAGGAAGTATAGAAGCTTTTCCCTGAGTCAGTGGTCTTTTTGGGTTGGCCTTCTAATTCTGTTGTGCCTTTGATTTAAGAGAAACAGGTATCCTAAACTTCCTCTAGAGCACACACAAAACCCAGTGATTCTAAATTTGGTGCAGTTAAGTGAGTCCTTTCATTGTTGAGTTGCTGAATTGTGTTTATTCAAGCTTTTTTATTCTCTTTTCTATTTTGAATTTTAGAATTTTCCAGCATGTCTTCCCTAACAGAAAAGGACAGACCAATTGTTCAGCTGTTGCTGAACGCTGGCACTTGCCCACGGTGTATTTTAAGGTTCTGCAGCGTGGGATCACAGATGCTTTATAGACATCCATACAAGGTTTGTTCTTTGTGTTTCTAATTAGAATGTGTGAGAATCCAGTGTTCTCTGTGCTACCTTGATGGAGAAGCTGGTTGTATTCTTGGACTCTTTGCCTGAGAGGAAAACACTTTGTAAAAAGACTTATGGAGAAGGACTTCTGCTATGCTGTGCAATTGTGAGGAATCAGAAGAATCATAGAATATAGTGATCATTGTGGGTTAAATGTTAAGCTTGACTGTGAACGTTGCTGTGTATTCCTCAAAGCCACCAGAAAACAGGGCATGTGAGCTTTGGCACGGCGTGGCTCTATCATTTTTAAAGCAGAGCATGTATAACTCTTCCCTCTGTTCTTTTTCCTTTAAGGTAATAGGTAGTAAAGGGCCCATGGGCCATGTAGCTGGTGGAAAGGAGGAACCGTCTGCTCCAAACTTACCTGATAATTCCTTCTTCTTTCAGTAGAATTGGTAGGGGGTTGTAACTGAAAAATTATGGAGCACAGAATAAATCTTTTCAATCAGTTAAACACAGTGTTAGTAGGTGTCCTTTTTAGCTGACCTTAATGCTGAAATTCAGTGTTCTTCAAATTTTTCCTAGTTGTGCACAATCTTTCTTGCCTTTGTTCTTGTAGTCGGTACTCCTCAACTTAGTTTTGCCTCCTCCTCTGTGTTGGTTCTTTGAGACCTCTTATTGTAGGCCACATAAACATTTCTATCTACTTGGTCTAATCCCTTGTCTTTATGCTTCCATCTTCTCGTGTCTGTCTTGATTGTTTCACATTTGGTCAAGTTTAGACTTCCCAGAATTCATTTTTAACATCTTTCTACCATATCCCTTTCCATTTTCTGTCAGTCTTTTGAGAAGTGTTCATTCTGTATGCCATTCTTCATTCTTTTGCAGCTCTACCTGATTTTCCTCTGAGTTGCCACAAGACAGTAACCTCTTTGTTAGTGAAGACTTTTTAATAAATCTTTCTGAATTATGTCTTGCCTCTATCTCTCATCCTTCCTAAAATTCAGAGATATGCAGGTAATTCTTCTCTCTCCTCACCAGCACATCCTTTAATTTTTGTAGGCTTCTCCCTTCATATGAAATTCTTCCTCTATGTATTTAATTTCACCTTCACCTGTACCTGTTCTCATTTTCTTCTCATACTATGCTAGCCAACTCTTTTCCTATTCATCTGGGCTAATGGAGGTGGAGGAATCAGATTCTAGCATAATCTAAATGACAAAAAGGCAATAAACATCTATTTGCATTGAATAACAGTGGGGGCCAAGATAAATACATTTCTGCAAGTGAGGTCTGTAAAATGTTTATGCTCCTCTTGGATGATAGAGAAATCTGTTCAGCAAAATTCAATTTCTCTGGATAACATTTTGAGAGAAATACAGCTTGGAGCTTTTTAATTGTGTAGGTGTCTTTTGGTCTAAACTCAAAGTTATCAATTGCATACACTAAGGCTAAGCTAGAATAGAATTGTGTTTGTATGTGCATTGGAGAAAAGAGACAAAAACAGGAACATGATTCCTCTGTTTGTATTAGGATTTGATGAAGGTTTTAAAAGAATTTCTGAAAAATGATCCAGAAAAAGAAGATACAGTTTGTTTTGATGTAGTTGATCCCCCGTGTAAGAGAATCAGACTTGAACACCGTGAAGAAGGGCCCGAGGATCTGAACCACAATGGAGCGCTCCAGCAGATTCCTCAGGTTAATGATGAAAATACTGCAGTGGAGAACTCGGCTGTGAAGGTTTGCAATGTGTGTTTGGGAATTCTTCAGGAGTTTTGTGAGGCTGACTTTGTTAAAAAGGTAAATACCTGTTCTTAGTCTTTCTGTGTACTTTTCCTGGAGCTTGTGTATGCAGGAGCCTAAGGGGTAGAGCTGGTGATTAAAAACACCACACAGTTAAACAATTGAAAGAAAGATAGTAGAACAGCAACTGCAATACCTATTTTGAATATTTGAAATGTAGATGGCACCATTCAGCTACATACTGCTCACTGACAGTGTTTGCACACCTCCTGTGTAGCTGGGAAAGAAACTGTTGTGACCATATTTTTCCCAGGGCTTATAATAACGTAACTTGTTAAAAAAACAGCAGTGTGAGTGCAATGGAATCACTGCTAGGAGCACATTTTCCTAAGGAAAGGACTAACAGATACATGGTTACATGAATTTAGGAGATAATCTGAGGTTCAGATGCTTAGATTACAAGGAAAACCACACTGTAAATGTTGACCTCCCTTCACTTTTTCTACGTGAAGGGAAAATGAGGAGGCGTCAACTGCTTCAGCTTAACTACACATTCCTAACACAGCACAAGTCTGTCTTTACAATGCACTACTATTTAGAAAGCCACAGAGAAAGAAAATGTGTTGGTGATACAACAGATTTGTAGTTGTTGGAGAAAATATGAGCTAGGAGAGAATATGGGCATAATGAGTGTTGCAAACATCATCTTTGAGCCGTAAAATTGCTTATGTGACAAACTGAAATATCAGCTGGAAAAGTCACACTTGTATTTATGTTTAACAGTTTTAATAGGAAATAATTTGGTTTAATAGCATGAATGTATCTAAAAAGGGGACTAAACAGAAAGTACAGTATATAGTTTTTGTTGCTGCAGTGCATGATGTTTCTTTTTTGTTTCTGTTGGTAGATTATATGTATTTTTACAGAATCCACTTCTAAGACTTACTTCAGATTTAACTCTTGAGTAGCAGTGGAAAATCTGCCAGCTTTTGCTATGGCATCACAAAAAGTGATTATTTCATAAGGAAATTCTCTTATCTGAGATGTTGAATTCACCTTGAAAGCTCAGAATTCATATTTAGCATTCACTAAATCACTGATGTTTTAGAAGACTTCTCCATGTGTGTTTGAGCTTACTTCTATTAGGGACATCTAGTCATCAGCTCTTACCACCCTGCTTTAAAATGTTTAATATCTGTTTGGGTTCTTACTTTATTTCCAGTGACAAACACCATTTTTTTACAATGAAGAAAGATTATGAATTAATCCTGTAGATAAGTGTTTGTTTTTGTCTTATCCCAGGATCTTAAACATTTATTGTCATAGAATTGTATCTCTGCCGTGAAGAAAGGCATTTCTGAGCCAGCTGTTTCAGCCTTTGGTCAGTGTGGTATAATTCACTGCGCTAAGATTTTGGTATACAATCAGTCTTAGTCATAAAAAAGCAGATTTAGTTGTTTCATAGCAATAAGGGTACAGTTTATTAATTGCTTGCTTTTAACAGAACAAAAAAGCTTTTATTTCAATAAGTTGTTAGGGATTACTCTGTGTGTTCAGCATCTCTCTGAATGTGTATTAACATGGATTTACAGTGATTACAGTAGAAGAAAGAATATCCTGAAAGCTTCTCAACTCCGGTCCGTTGTGTGCTTTAATATTAAAATCCTTCTATTGCAGGTGTGCCAAAAGGTTAATTCTGCTGATTACCAATTCACTAGTTTTGTATTTTCTGTGTCACTACCCCCACAGCTGTCTGTTAGGGAGGTAAGTACAGCTATTTCTTCATAACTTAAATACATATTAAAGAAAGTAACTATGGAATGTACAAGCTGGAGGTGGTTTGATTTTTTAATTGCTGTTGTTTAAAAAAAGCCAAAAACACATGCTAGAAGTGAAGCCTGCTCTCCCTTTCCATGTTGGTGAGTCTTATTTTAATTAAGAAAGTGCCTGAGTCGCTTCAGCTTTCAGTTAGCCCAGGAGTTACTTTACAGCTGAAAATCCAAAAGGAGTTTCTTGAAGCCCTTGGTGTATTGTTCCCTTTGGTACAGATGCTAGCTCTGCTTTGTGGATCTTCCTGGAGAAGGAAGTGCACAGCTGGTGCCTTTCCTGAAATAGATGATAATTGGTAGTGCAGAATACAAATGAAGGAATTTGAGGATGGACTCTTTAAGTGTTCAGCATTTGAAATGATGTGAAAGTGCACATTTTAATAGTCACCTGTCTCGGGCATTGTTAAAAGTCTAGATTTGTAAAACTGAAGTTTGTGGCCGTTGTAAAACTACTGATTTTGGAGACAATTTTAATCAAATGGTTTACATTTCAGTCATTCAGTTATAGAGGCCAATGATAATATGGAGGAGTGAGTAACCCTGGTAATTTATTTTTTAAAAATAGGGGGAAAATACTAAGTATAATACAACTTGATCAATAAAGCAGCAATTTTTGCTTAGTTGTGAGACATTTCATGATGTTCCTCTGCTTTCTGATATAAAGTGACACAAAACCTGTTCTAGAGGGCAATATGTACACCTTTGCAATAGGTGCCTGCTGTGGTAAGATGTAGCAGGAGCTTCAGCGAACAGGGCAGAAAGAAATGGAGGTGGTCTTGGATTTATATATAAACCTGTGATTAAATCAATTCGCATCCCAAATGGTTTGATTGTTAAATAATCTGCTACACTTTTAGTGTTGATTTGTACTGTTAGTTCTAGCACCTTGGGCAGTGTCATGGCTGCATTGTGCTAACATATACTCTACTTCTAAGTCTTTCTGAACATAAGGTTCTCTACTTCCCATCTGAAACTAAGCACAGTGTTTTTGCTTGAGCTTCTGCTGTGTCTGGTAAAATAATACCAGAAACAATTGTGCTTTCTGGCTGGATGAACTGCCCTTATTCCCATTTGATTTTGTGGTTATCCAAAAAAATGGGATAATCTAAAAAGCCCTTTCAGGTTAGGCAGGTATGTGGATGCATGTGTGTGTGCCTGCAGTGCTCTGTAAAACTCCAGCTGTGGGTCAAACTTACTCCACCTTTATGCTCAGTGTAAACTTAGGTGTTTAAATAAAGAGGAGCTTTATTATTTCTAGGGTACTATAGATCAGGTCTTTTCCATTTCCAGTCTCCCTTTACTAGTCGTTACTGAGACTTCCCTTATGCTATCCATTATAGCCTCAATGAACAAAAACCAAAGTGAGGCACAGAATCTTTTGGCTCAGTTCCCAGCTGCAATTCCCATGGTGTCAAATTCTTAATACTTTTCCATTATGCATCTTTAACTCGACAGCTATAGTTTATCTAGCTTAAAAATAAATTTCTTTTATTCTTTTTTTTGTATAGCGTAGCCATATAATGGTAAAACAAGGAAAGGAAGATTTGATACTGATGTTTTTTGTCACCCTCCTTGTGGGTCTTTGCCAGAATGCCTCGGTAGAGGGTGTTAGTGCACTGCTTTTCTAACACTGTGATGTTCTCACATTAACGTGAACAAGCAGGGCAAGTGTTTCTGCCGGCTTTTGAATCAGCCTTGGCTGTAAATGGAAGCAAAAAGTAACAGTTTACTTCAGAGAGTTCATCTAAGTGATGGAAATGTTAGTGATATGCTGAGACTGTGTGGACTGGCAAAACTAAATTGGCAGATGCAGTTGATAGATACCCAGATTTATTACTTTATAGTAACTTTGTCTTGTAAGTGCAATAAATTCTTAGTTTGATAAAAAGGATGAGGTGTAATTTTTAACCTGTCCATCTGCTTCAGTCAAGCTATCTTGTCTTTATGTTCAAACAATGCTATAGTACTTAGTACAATCAAGGCAATAAAAGTTGTGGTGTCCAGAAATGAATAGGTGAAGTGAGATGAATGAGTAGGAAGATTCAAAACCAGTTCTGTTCTCTTTGTAAACAGTTCTGGTTTGTCTGGGAGCAGGTCTGCATTAGGAAGTATCTGCTGTCCCTTCTGTTCTGTCCCTTCAGTCTTGCCAAATGCTAAACCAGCTGTGCTCTAACTGAAGGGGTGAAAATGGGTGATGGTGGAGAAAGAACCTCTTTAAAACCATGGGGTTTTATTTACTGCCTGTCTATCACTTGAAAAAAATTAAATGGTAAAAACAGTTCCTGTTTTATGATTATAGAAAAGCAGCAAGTGATATAATATGTCAAAACATCTCAAATATCTCAAAGTGCTTTGTGTTGAAAAGAGGTCCTTTGTGAAATTCTGCTTTTAATTCTTGGAACTGCACTTTACAAGAACATATGTAATTTTATCACAAAAGGACACCCCAAAGACAGCCTCCCTCCCATTGACCTTTTGTGTGACACACAATTTTCTCTGACTTTTTTTTTAACCGAAAAACCCCAGAAACTGCCTTTTAATATTGCCTTCAATTAATTTAGACAGTTGTCATCCTGCCAAGTCAAAAATGTATGATCAGAGCTGAAGAGTGAGACATAAAATTTACATTTGCATAGTATTTGTATCTGTAATGCAGAGAAACTATCACCTCTTTCCACAAGTAGGATATTTGATTAAAATAAATCATAAATACAGGAGTCCCAAGTTTATGTCAGACAACTATATTAGAATCTGAAGTGAGTCATGCCCTTCAAAAGGGTGACTGTTAACTCTCTCTGTAGTCTCAGTTGTGATCCATCATCCTGGTTCTTGCTACAAGGACATTGATGCAAATAGCATCTGTAGTCATTACTCCCTGTAGAACTATGTATACCTCATCATGGAATTCCCCATCTTGAAGCTCTTTTTTAATACAGTGAAAAAATGCTGTGGCTGGGATTGCACATGGTATTTCAACTGTTGCCACTGTGATCCCTCAGATAGCATTAGAATAATATCCTGCAGCTTGTAATCAATATAGTGCCTAAGCTAGTGTATTTCAGAAATATATGTGCTGTTAAGCATTGCCCTGCAGGCTTGAGCTCTGTAATGAGCATTTTTCATTTTCAAACCACTTCACAAACATAAAGTAATTATGAAGTAGAGGGATCTGATCCCCTGTTTCACATACAGCTGGGACAGAGTAGAGGGCTTTGGCTGGCTTGGTGCTTGAATGTCATTTGGAATTTGGGATCTTTTGTCTTCTGTGCTCACAGTATCCCAATCCATTGTTCACTCCAAATTGAAGGGGAAAAGTCATATCTTTAATTGTCTTTCAATTTTGAAGTCAAGACAGAGGAGATGAAATCTGACCTGTGGTCTCATTTTAGCATAACTACTTACATGCAGTTTTCTTTGTTTTGTGATTGTACCCCATAAAACAGGGGGAAGAAGTGAGGTTTTCCACTTGATTGAATACCAAACCTACATATGCTTTAAATTAAGGCATAGGAGATGTTTTAAATTGGCATTTGTCAAGTACATATTTCTAGACCCGGTTCTATGGTTGTCGTATTCTCTACTTCAGAATTATGTTCAAGGAATTTCAATTGGAAACTCTTTTTATTTATGATTTTATCTGGGTTATTATGCAAACAAGATTACAGTATACTTCGTGGTGTTTTGTGCAGCAGTCTTACTCATACTGTCTGCATATGCAGGGTAATGAATCACAGTGAATTTGAGTAAACAGCATTCCACCAATACAAGGATATTTATTTTATTCAGTAGTGTGTAGTTTGGTGTAGTGTGTATCTAACAAAGTTTGTGTCCTCTCTCCACCATCCCTCTTTCCCCTTAATATTTCTAGCATTGTTTTTAGGATTCCCTCATTCTATTAGATGTACCAAAGGAAGGATAATAGACCTGTTTGGTTTTTTTTTGATTGAGTTCCTCTATCAGCATGTAAAAGAAATCTGTGATGTGGCTCCTTCTGATATCAATGAAAAGATGTTGTGATCCTGGCTCTGCTCCTTAAAATTTGATACATGTTTTCAAACCTCTGCATTGGAATTATTCCCTTGACAATAGACGGTAATTCTTTTGACAGGGTTTGGGGGGAAGTTACTCTTAAAGCACTGTATCTGAAGAAAGACAGGGAGAGATTTAAAGTTATGGAGAATTGAAATGGGTGTTGTTCACTGCTTCTGAAATACCAACTCTCTTGGATATTTTGTATGTATCTGTGGTTGTATGACAAGTGTATAGAGTCTCCTTTCTCTGACACTTTGCTAGTAGTCTGCAGTCTACAGATTGAAAACTACTAATTCTGATTTTTGTCGTTGTAATTGTTTCAAGCCAAACAACTTATTTTTCATCTTCAGTGAGGGTGGTGAGACTAGATGTCCAGACTGCGTATTGACAGTACAGGTTCTATTAGTAAGAGATTATTCTGCCAGTCTTCATGTGTTATTTTGCTATTATTAGTAAAGGAAGAACTGAAAATGTTGTTGCTTTGTTGTAGGAAGTTTGAGGGGAGTTTTTCTCTTCTTCTTAATTGTTTTTGCACTGATAGGCACTCAGTCGAAGTGGAAACATTGTACGGGTCTTCTGAATACCTGTGTCCACCATCACTTTTTTTCCACCTAATTAAAGACCTAATAGAAAATTCTGGTGAACTGTAATGCACTTCAGTTTAGTAAGGTATATTTTCATTGTGGTGCAGAGAACGGCAGTCACCCTTGGCCCACACAGAGGCAAAATCTAAAGCCTAAAGTGCTGAACAATTACTACACTGAAATGATAGATGACTTGTAGAATCAATGCGTCAGTACAAAGAGAAGTGAATGAGGCTGCAAAGAGATGCGCCTCTCAAATCTTTGGCTCCCAGAGCAGAGTTCGGGAAAGATGCTTTGAGAAGCTTTTGGCATAAGCAATGTTTGGAATGTTTGGAAGTCTTTTAATTTGTTGATGGTTTTTGAATTTGCCCTGGTCTATTGGTGTTGCACTGCGTCAATGGCTGTTGTTCCTTTGTGCTTACTTTTGTGGTTTTCTATTGTCCTTTTGTACCACTGGCAATTTTAAGTCTGCTTTTGCCCTTTGTTATAACCATTGTTAATTCTGATACTGCTGAGTTCCATTTGTTGTTTGGGACACCTGAGTTATGGTTCATGATCTGCTTTCCTGGGCAGTGCTGCATCTAAGGGACCTGTTACATTATGTTTCTTTAAACATATAAGGCTGCTAGAGGAGAGGAGTTGAGTTTGAGGAAGTACTTGCAACGCACAGATTGAGGACAATTACATCTTTCAGCCATTCCTACCTATGCTGTGTGATTAAAAATTGTTACTGAACTCCAGCATTTGTACTAAAGGTCCCTCTGACCTCTGGAATCATTCTGTCTGTTCTTCAGCTTTCTCATATTCAGCCTGTGTCTCCTGAACTAAGTGGTGTGTGCTTTAAATAAGAGGGCAATCCTCAGGGAAAGGGTTTGTGATTACCATGAGACCAAGTATGTCTTTTATTTCATGTTTTTTATAATGGATGATAACTGAATTTGATTTATTTTTTCTTTATATGTCAGATCAGTTTCGTAGACCATCCATTGAGACACTTGTCTTTTACTCCTCATTTCTCTGTGTGGTAGATAACTGCTAGTTGCTCCTGACTTTGATAACAGCTAGTTGCTCCTGACTTAGGCTGTTGGTGTCTTTTGCTGGTTATAGTGTTAATAGCAGTTTTCAAAGTATGTTGAATGTAGCCTGATCTTTCTTTTTTAAAGCCAGATAGGATTTGAGGTGAACTGCAAAGTAATTTCTTACAAACACCAATTCTGTCTTTCCACTTCTAAAGCAAAAGTTAAATTAAAATCCTGATACTTCCTTTTTGACCTGAGGTTTTTTAAAGTGTTTTTCCTTCCGACAGCCTCACAGTTGTTGGGAGTTTTGAGCCTTAATTTCACTTGCTTTTGGTGTTTCTCTCCCCCTCTCTTCTTCCTGGGCATGGCTGGTGACCTATAGCGTGCTGCTTGGCTGGTGTTAAAACAGGAAATGAGGTGAGTAATGTCTTTTGGCAACCCTCATACCACTTCTATTAGAGAGTTCTCCACATTTAGAGAAAGGAGAGATACTCTTCCTGTAACTTTTTTCCCAGCAGAGTAGAAATGAGAAACCACTTAATGCAGTGGATCTGCTGAGACATGTATGTTAAGAGAAAATTTTAACCAAGCAATTAGAGCCATATTTTTGAGGTCAAGACAGTTGCTTTCATATAAAGGTACCTTTGCTAACAGTTGTGGAATATATAGACTTGCTTCCTATGTGCTTGGCCATGATTTTAACTTACTTAGTATCTTCAGAACTAGCCATAAGGAAAATCAGAATTGGGATATGCTGTAATTTTTTTTTGTTTGGCTTCTTATTATTATTACTTTAACTTTTTATTGTCCATAGATTTTGCTGTCTGTCTGACGAGAACTCTTTTATGTAGACACTGTTTGTCTGTATAAATGAAGAGCAGAGAAGTCTTGTCCAGTTTGCTTGTTGTTTACAAAGGATAAAATGGCACCTGGTTTTTGTTTGGTGGTTTTTGGTTGTTTTATGTTATTTTAGTTTTTTCTGAAACTGGTTTGACCTTATTTAGAAATTCTTATCTCTTTTGCCTCATAGTGTGATTATGAGGCCATGGTATTTCAACTGGGAGTGTAGGCTGTCTGTCCAACTGTACAGCTTTGCGTTAACTTCATGGTCGTGAGAGGTGCCATGATGACATGAGCCAGAATCTTGTACATGAAGACAGTGAAAAACAGACCTCTTCGTTTTGCCACTATATCAGGTTTAGCTTACATTAATAGTGAATGAAAATTGTCAGATAATAGTGAAAAGTGAATAGTGTACCAAGAAAGACATTAGTGCACTGGGTGCAGGTTAGTTTTGACTCATCTCTTTTATACCTCACAGTTCTGAAATAAATTTAAACATTTGATTCTTTGTCTGCTCCAGGACATGCCTACTCCTGGCCAAATGAGAACATATTAGAGCCCTTTTGAACAGATGAGTTATCTTTGCGGGCAAGAGGAAAGAAATCCACTTGTTTCAAAGTTAGATACTGGAGTAGTCTTTGGAGGAATTCATGCTGGCTGGAAGTACCATTTCTAGATATTCATTGAAAGCCAGATTAAAAGATCAGTTCCTACTTTGAGACTAATTTGAAAGCAATTGTTTCATTAAATTGCTTGAGAGGATGAGACCCTGTAGGGCAAACATTGCCCACATAGCTTATCATTGGTGCCATCTGTATAGGAGGACATGGGCTTTGCTCTGTAAGTTCCCAGACAAGTGGTTTGAAGTCATATGTTGGCATCCTTACAGGCATCTGCTCCTTTTAACTTCTCTCTCTGTAGGCAAAGAATAGTTGAGGCCTAGTCTTGTACCTATTTAAATCCTTTAAACAAAGGATTTTCGTATATCTCTTCCTCAGCTCTTCTCCAGGTAGTCTCTGGAAAGACTTTTGCAACTTTTGCTTGACCATGGAGCTATGGCATGAGTTTCCTCAGTGCACATTCTCTTACACTTAACAAAAAAGAGTCTATATTTAAATGTTAGTGAAAAATCCACTGGTAAATAGAAACAGGGCAGAATAAGACACTACTTATGCTGGAAGCTGGACAGGAGGCTCCTTAGCAAGCAGCACAAGTGTTGCCCTGCAGGATCCAGATACTCAGTTTACTTACGCTGAACTAGATGTTGATTTACTGTCAGAAGGCTCTTGCCTCCATCTGCGTGTACCTTCTGTCTTTCTTGTGTTAGCAGAAGTGCTTATGTGACCACTGGGAGAGCTGATCATCTCACTGATCTGGCTGAGAAAAATGTTTTTTGGTGGATTAGGATTTGCATTCAGTGGGATCAATCGACTGATATTACTTACCATGCTGTGTAGCATCAGCATCCAAGTCTGGCAGGAAGGAGGAAACACAGGCTTTGAGTTTAAGCTGATACTAGCTACACCTTTAGCTACTCCCTGCCAAAGTTTTATGTGTTATTGGGAAGCGTCACACTTGGAACTGTGGTCTGGCCATAATGTTTCCTTAACACTTTATTTGTTAATTCAATACAAAAATTTAATGCTGTTACAGAGGTTCTGGAACAGCATTTCATTCTTTCATGCCATGGTATGTATGCTTAGTGCTTTAGTCCATTTTTGTTTGTGCATCACTTGTTTACCTGGCACTAGTTACTTAAGTTTGACTTGCAATATATGTGTCATGTATCTGTGTTTGACAGACCCCTGTGCAAGTTATTATTTCTTTGTTATTCAGAAATCTGGGCCTTTCCTTGGTGAAGGATGACATTGTTCAGCTGAAAGAAGCTTATAAGTGGATTATTCATCCCCAGTTGTCTGAAGAGTTGGGTGTTCCTGCTGATGGAAAGGTGTTGTATAAATAACACTTTTTTCTCTGTTTTTTTCATCTCTTTTTTGTATGTGTTTGTGTTTATACACTAAAATATATGCACACCTTATATATATATATATATACACACACTTAAGGGGGGGTATATATATGTTTTTCCCTTATTAACAGATAAACAAATTGCACTGCTCTTACAGTCAGGGTAGGGGGAAACAGGGGAGAAGCTCTTTTTACCAGAGATCTCTAAATCTCATACTGAGGGGTCCAATCTTCATTTTTGTACACATAGATCGTTGCATCTTCTGCAACCATCACAGTCTTTTGCTGAATATCTTGCTCTAGGGCTGATATCCTCCTTTTACGAATGAGACTTTTTCAGTTTTCTCATTTTTCAGGATCTCTGCTTTTCATAGGCTAAGGAACGTTCACAGGTTCCTTCTTTGCTCTTCTATTACTGCCAGCGCTTACTGCTCTGTGAGATAAATTGTTCAGGTTGTCACATTTTATCCCTAGAATTTAACGTACTATTTCTGAAACATACTGAAAGAGGAAATACTGGTCCTTGTTCACTTTAGTGAATACTAGAGATAGGCATGTTGGAACCTGCAATACCTCTAAGTATGCAATAGAAATGTTTTTTCAGACCCTGTTTTCAGCTTCCAGATTCTGACTAACCTTAAAATGGTTCTGAAATGCATTGACTGAACATGGCATTCATCTTGAAGGTAAAATTCCTGCTGACAAGGCAGTCTGCAGTTTTAAGTTGTGCTCTGCTGTAAAACTGACCCCAGGACTAGGCTCATTTAGTCTTTAGGTTGATTTGTCAGCTTTCATTATAATTACAGATTGTCCTTTCCCAGGAGTGCTAATTGAAAGCATGCCTTTTGTCTTAGTGAAGAAAGAAAAACTCAGTTATCCTGCAGATGATCCAAGAAGAAACAAACTTTCCGCATACCAAGTTAGCAAAAGCTCCACAGTGCTTAGGCACTGAGCCACTCCAGACGTCATTGTACCATAAAAGTTACTTGTGTAGTGCTCTTTATCTACAAGGCTCTTGAATATTAGCCAATCTTTTCAATAGCCCTCTTGAGGTATTCTGGTATCTGAATAACAGAAGTAATGAGTGTTGTTTGCCCAAGGCCAAAGAGGGAATTGGGGTTAGAACTGAGATTACACTAGAGTTTCTGGTCTAGCTGTCACTCCACTAGGACATGTTGCCTTTCTTTGCCCCAAGGCCATTCAGTCATTGCAAACAAAGCCCCTGACAAAATTTTACAGTGGTGACTACTACAGGGTTTTATCTTTATTCCATGCTATGCACTGCTCTCCCTGAAGGTTTGTGAAGTTTAGTGACCGTAATAGGCTTTGAGCATACACTGCCTCTGACTCAGTTCCCCCTGCACAGAATGGGGCCGCTGTCTATGATGTGTAGGTCACTCATGGTTTTGAAGTGCTCTCAGATAATCTTTGCTTACTTCAGAAATGCAAATGCTATTACGGCACACATAGAGGCTGTTGTAGAATAAATGGGTTACTTTCTCCTTTGCCTACCTCTTTACTGTTTTCCTAATCCTACAATAGGGATGCTTGAGAATATCCTCCCTGTTTATGTAAAAAACTCTTAGCTTCTGCTTTTGTCTTTTGTGTTTTCAATTTAGAGCTTGTTTGAAGTTAGTGTGGTCTTCGCTCACCCAGAAACAGATGAGGAGTGCCATTTCCTGTAAGTTTTTATATAAATAACAAAAGATCTTTATCTAAATATTGTGCAACATTGTTGGTTCAGATTTGCTACAGATGAGAATATGCTGTGTTTATAAACTGCAGTAGGGGTTGCATCTAAACTTCCTCATATTCAGATAGAATTAAGGTAACATAATCTCTGGATAATTCTGTGCTTTAAAGCCAATAAACGGTAATCCAGAATTTCAGCTGGAAGGAGAGCATTCAGGTAAGTTGTTCAGTTTCAGCCCTTTTCCATATAGCTGTGTCATTTATAAAGATAAACTCAAAACATGCAGGTGGGGAAATCTTTTGAGGTCTTTTGAGCGTATTTTCCTGCTCTTATAGGAGACATGCATGGGCAGGAAGGCTGTGAGTTAATCCAGTTTAGCTGGTTGATGAAAACAGAGTTCCCTGATCACTACACATAGTTTTTGGTCTGGCCCAGCTGGATATTTGCTATACAGAAAGAAGCAAAATATTTCTGTGAATTTGGCTGCCATTTAATCTGATTTCTCAAACTCTGTAGTACATTCTGGATAATCAGGTTCACTCTTCCCATTTGCTGATGCTTCTTGGAAAATCAGAGTTTCACTCAGTTGTATCACTTGTGCCCTACTGCAAGTTAAATCTTAGCATAGATAGAAGCTTGGCATAGACTCCTCTGTTGCATAGTAAATTCATCTCTTGAGACTACAGATTTCCTTTGCAACTTTTATATATTTCCCCGATTTTACCCCTTCTGGCAGTCTGTGATCTTTGAATGCCCCATTTGCCACCTCCTTGGTTTTCAGCAGTGGCATCTTTAACTCAGCTTGGGGGAATGGAGGAATGCATGCTTGATGACAGATGAGGTATTTGGAGGAATGGATTACCAGTGTTTGCTGAACATCTTTCCTTTCCAGCTTCTTCAGGTGTGGGCAAAAGGGGGAGAAATTATTGAGGCCAAACTACAATTCTAAATAATGGTACCTGCAGTCTTGTAAAAATTCAAGTGTTTCTGGATCCTGCACCCTTCTGTTCTTATATATTTCATTTTACTTGATCAGCTCTTGTTTCCTGTAGTGCTTTTCCTTTCTCTGGAACCTCTCAGCTCTTATTTTCAGCTCACCCATACTTCTTGTGCCATTTCAAAAGTACTCATGTGGGGCATGTCACGGTGCCAATGTCAGCGCTCTGAGCGGAGTAGTCACAGTGGTGAAAGCTGTAAAGAAGTTCCATTCCACATTCCAACTACTCAGCTTTATTCCATGTGACCTGACAATATCCCTTTATTTGCTTTCTCTTTGTAGCATACTTAAAGAGTAATTAAGGTTTTAATAGACATTTTTCTGAAGTAATAGCATGTTACCTAATTTAATTACATAGTAGCTTCTCAGGTGTCAATGCATTCTGCCTCTGAATGGCTGGCTCTGGGCATATTCTGAGGCAATGGTTTGGTTTCTTTTGTAAATAGGGTAAATTTGGCAATTGTCATGCTCTAGTAATGACAGTCATGTTTTTTTGTGGAAGCAAAGTAGGATCTTGTTTCAAGCTGGAGAAGTCCTCCAGGGACGCTTTGGGGTGAGGTTTCCAAGTACAGTGTGTGTGCAATTTCTCATCTCTCAAGCTGTTCTTCCACAGTTATGTGTAGGTAGGTGTGCTGGGTTTGACATGGAAGATTGAATTGGCTCTTGATAGTTTATATTTGGAGAGTTCTGATTAAAGGTAAGGTGATATTGAAATAGTGGAAGAGGGAGTTTGGGATGCTTTGTGTCACAAACTGGTCAGGCAAATTCCTTGTACAAAAAACAAGAGGACAGGCCTGCTTCCTTATAGTCTAAAGTAGTTACAGAGGCTTTGAGAAGTACCAGCAAGACTTGATAAATTGTGTTGGAGGCTAGAAATCATCTCTAACTGCATACATAGAAATCCACTAATAGGAACAGCAACTTCCTCTACAGTACTCAGAAAAAGTGTTTCACTCACTTGGCTTTCACTTTCGTGAAACAACCAGTAGTTTCCTTTTGAAGAGGCAAAGCACAAATGGTATTGAACACCCAGGATTAGTAATGAATTTTCCTATCCAAAAGAAGCAATTTGAACCTCTAGTTTGTAGTGTGGATTGTGAAAGAACAGCAAGTGTAGATTTCAAGATGTCAGCACATCTTGCATGGATTGATCATGACCTTTGTGGAGAAGGATTGGAAGGGACTGACAGCTAAACTGCTTGTGTGCTTTTCCATCCCATCTCAAAGCTGAGACACATTTGTGTCAGAGCAAAAGAGGCTTACACAGCTTTGTCCATGACTTCTCTCTAGATCAGGCATCACACACCGTCTGCCACTTGTGGCTTAGGATAAAGTTAATTGTAAAATCTGCTCTGTGCTAAGCTGTGGAAGTGAGATACGGGACACATTGGTAAAAGACTGTGTATGTGCTATGCTTTTAAGTCTGTTTATTTTCCTCTTCTTCTATAAGAGTACCAGCTAATTTTGATTTCTTTATTTAGAGCCACAGCCTGTCCAGACTGTTTCAAACCAGCGAAGAACAAACAGGTAGGATCTCATCATTGTTCTATTTCTTTTCTGACATTCAGAATTTCACAGCAGTAGCTACAATGAAGAACTAACCTCAGTATTCAGTCAGTGTTAAATGTCTGGTTTTCCTTCATCAGAAATCTCTCTAGTTTTCTATTGTCTCAAAATAAAGTTGTCCCCTTTATTCACTTAACATGTCCCTGCTTAAGAAAACTAAGAGCTTGGTGCTTTTCTTTAGGTCATTCATTTTCCAGACTGCCTGAAGGCCATAATTTTAGGAATGTTCTCTGTAAATACCTTCCTGAAGATCTAGGAAGTTGATTGTCATGCATTAAAAGTAGCATAAAAGATGATCCTCAAGCTCTCTGTTCAGATAAGTCACATTGTGAAGCTGAGACTCCGCAGCCAAGAGGAAAATGATCACACTGCAGTTTTCATGTCCTCTGACCTGAACGAAAGACACAATACATGCAGGATGGTTTTATCCTCTCTGCGTCTGCAGAAGGGGAGGGAAGAAAAGGGACCTTGCCACTTCTTGCAGACCCTGAGCATGCACACACTCATTGATGGAAAAGAGGACGTGTAAGAGTAAAAAAACAGTTGGAGAGAAACTGATATAAGGACAGTTGATGTGATCAGAGGGAGAACAAGTAACTTCTGTCAGAAGCCTCTGCAAGGCCTTTTATTCTTTCTGGTGAAGAGTCTCCTGACATTTGACAGAGGCAGTCTTACCCAGGAATTCTGCCTGCTCTACTCCACCTGACTGAGAAATGCAAGTCTTTTTTTAGAAGGATTGTATTGTTGTAACTCACTGCTTGCTGCATTACTTTCCTTTAGAAGGGGGAAAATCCCAAGTAAGGAGCTAAACCAGCAGGGCCTGGCCGTTAAAACCACACAGGCAACAAGATGCAGGGGAACCTTGAGCAAAAAATATCAGCTCTGAAGAGCCAGCAGAGGTTAATGGTTACACAGAAGTTGTGCTTAAAGCTTCAAGGGCTGTATTAATCAGAGAAGTACTATACAAACTGGGTTCTGAGTGAAAATTTCTGTGTCTTCTGCTGTAGACAGTTATTTAAACATGCTGCTACTTTAAGGGTTTTACAGTTCATCTGTTCTACGAGGAAGGGCAGTGCTATTATCTCTAATTTATGCTTAGAAGGAGAAAGACCAGCTATCCTGAAAGCATCCAGGAACTGTATGTTAGAGCAAAGATTTAAATTGTCCCAGACAGGGACAATTTTTTCAGGTTTGTTTTTTTTTTCCAAATCCCCAATCCAGTTTGCAAAAAAAACCACCCCATCCTTAAATCAGAAATTCAGCAGGTGGCCATCAAGTCAGGGGGCTGAAGCACATGCCCTGTGAGGAAAGGCTGAGGAACCTGGACTTCTTCATCTTGGAGAAGTGAAAGCTTTAGGGAGGACCCAACTCAATCTCTTACCAATAGAGGGATTATCAAGAGCAGGGAGCCAGGCTGTTCATCACAGTGCATGGTGGAAGATGAGAGGCAGTGGAAGTAAGTTGAAATGGGAGGTTCACAGTAGATACGAAAAGCCATTTTTACCATGAGGACAGTTCGACAGTGGAGCAGGTTGTGCAAATGGGGTGTGCAGGGTCCCTCCTTGGAGGATTTCAAGACCTGACTGGATAAAACCCTGGATAGTAGGGTTTGATCTCATAGCTGACCAAGAGACCTACTGTCCTCAGCCTTCCTAAAGCAGGATTCCACCTCACCCGTTACAACACTTGTTTCTCCTGCTCTAGAAACCTAAATTCTGTGTTTTCTGCCTTAGCCTCACTTGAGATATCAACAGGAGCACCTGGCTATGCAAAGAGGATGGTAGTTGTGACTCCTGCCATTACTGTACTATTATTACTACTTTGACTATCTGTTCACCATTGTGAATTGATGCAGCTTGGGAGTCTGAAGTTCCTTGCCTTCCACAGTTCAGGAACTGCTAAGCCCTACCATTCAGAGCCCTTAGTTCTGAGTATGAAAGAACTTTTGAACTTCATAAACAGATACCTACTCAACAGTCTTATTTGGGGAAGAACTAGCTATCTGCTCTCACCAAGATAAAAGCTGGGGCTTAGGTATACTTAACTCTTGAGACTGGAAAAGTTTTTTAGGTTTATATGTTTCTATGTAAACCTTTTTTAGGTTTATGTTCATGGATTTAGGATTCTGTTTTTAACCTGTTTTGCAAATTTGGACCTCAGAACTTTTCTTGTTCTTACTTTTGTGTATCTTCTGAAATAAGGTAGTTTCCAGAGATATGCATAGTATTTCTTTCAGCTAACCAACAATCAGGCTTAGCAATTGAATATTCTCAGGAGTTGCAGTAGGTTTATTTGCAAGTATATAGTGTACAGTAACTATAGACAGAAAGTGTTGTTATATTTTCTGTGTAAAAGCACTGAGTAAACATATACTACAGTTTGTACCTGTCTTCTAGAAACAAAGGGGCAAATCTTAGTTGTACAACTAAATAACTGTTATATTCCAGTCTGTCAGCTGTATTAGTCGTATTGATTCCATGTTGTGAGTAAAGTGACTTGAACAGAATCTGGCAAAATTACCTGGTGCTGTTTGCCCTATTAAAATTAGGGTCAAGATCATGGTGAGTTCTTACTCATATGGAGTTGCTTTGAGGTAGAAGAAAACATAAAACACAAGCGAAAACACTATATTGTGAGAATCCTACAGTGTGCATGCTTTAGGGTTTTTTTCTTCCTTAGCGTATCCTTTCTTAGCCTCTCTTAGTTCTTGACTCATTTTTTTTTATTTCATTGTACAGTCTGTTTTCACTAGAATGGCAGTTATAAAAGCCCTAGAGAAGATAAAAGAAGAGGATTTTCTCAAGTAAGTATATACTGAAACTAGTTCTTAGTATTGTGCTTTTGTATAGAGTTAGGATGGGGAGGAAAATATTAGGTTGGGTAAGTAGTGGTAAGATGTCTATGAAAGAACTTTTAATTCTTGAAATTCTCTAGTTTACCGGGTAAAATGTGTTGTGTTTTCTCCTCTTCTGGTAATAGAATGTCATTCCAGGTCTTTTAATTAAGGGGTAATATGAAAATGCTGAAGATACAGAGGATGGATATAACTGGACATGGCACAGATGATGGGCTTTTTCCCATTAGTAGAAGTTCCTCTCTGGTTGGTTAACTCAGAAGGGGAAACTGTGAGTCAAGAGAGCTGCAGTTCTGCTCGGTGCTTTTGGCAGTACAGCACTGCAGACTTCTGGGCTGGCATGGGATTTAGAACAGTTAGAAATGAAAACAGCTTCTTGTAGTATTGCCAGTCGTTTACATTTAAAAATCTTATGTATGTCCCCAAAGCCGCAAAAGAGATTTAGAAATCATGGAACTTCCTTCTGTATTTTGAACATTAGAGTTTACAAGGCAAGCTTCTCTTTACAAGAAAGACTTTTTCCCATATTTCCAAAATGTTAGGAGTTGAGTTTTAAGGAAACACCAAGTGCTGTAGTATGGTAAAAATCACAAGCAGTGGAAAGACATCAACAGACATTTACTCTGTAGTTCACTGTGCTTAATTGCACGAAAATCAAATCTTTTCTTTGATTCCCAACCAAGATTTAGTGGTTTTGATTTGTTTAATGTTTATCCATTTCTTTTTCTACCTTTTAATGTGAATACTGAGTTTACACCAATAGCTGTGTTTTGTCTAACTGAAGTCATCATCTTGCATGCCATTATTGCTATGATGATGCTCCACCATGTTCTAGTATAACTCTATCTTTAATCTTTTTCTATACAGGCATTTTCCATGTCCCCCAAATTCACCAAAGAACGTCTGTGTTGCTCTGGAAATTCAGTGCAATAATGGTGCAGTTTTTGTGGCTGGTAAAGTGATCCATTTTATTTGCTGCTGTATTATCTTAAACATAACTTCGTAATACTGCAATGAGACCCAGAAGGTTCTTGCTATTTCTTGATTCCTTTATTGAAGTATAAGGAGCACAGAAACAAATCGTGCTCTGTCCAAGAGTGGGCTTATTTGAAAGGGGAAGAAATTAAACTTGCCTTTGCTGAAGACATGGTTTTGTCAGAAGTTAGAAATCACAGATAACAGGCTCAAATCAAAGCTGTTTTTCTGCTCTTACACTGTGAATTTAAACTTAGAGATAGTCTGTGGTGGAATGTGGTTGAAGAGGGGTAGGAACTGCAGGCAGCTGAGACAAGGTAGGGTTCCCATGGTAGGAGCTGCAGGAGGGGAGCATATCACTTGGGCTGCTCCCAGTGTGCACACACCTTCCTTCTGGATATTTTAGCAATAGCCTGCTTTTCCTTGCCATTGATTTGCTTTGAGAGATGGAAGAGGTCTCTCTTCTAGAGACACCACAGGGTGATGTGAATTCTTAAAACAACTTTCTCTGCTCATTGAGTGGGTTTATCCAGAAGCAGGTTTGATTTGGATTTATCTGCATGTTATTCCATCCAAACCTGCCAATCTTAATGGGATTAATGAAGATTAAATTTTGGAAAGCTTAGCTCTTTCTAGATTCCCCCACTCGAAACCAAGATAACATCTGAAATAATTGGGTGAGGCAGGTACTGCCACAACACTTGCTGTCCTGAGTTGAGATGATTCAACTGTTCTATTACCTGCTTGCAAGAGAATCTACCCTTCCCCTACTCCTCTGGACAAACAGCCACTGGTTTAAATATAAGCAAACAGCTTCTTTTTTTCTTGAAACCCTGCAGTTTAAATTCAGCATATTATTTAAAAGGATGGTACAAATCCTGAATAAAGGAAAAAGCACAAAATGAAAACAAAAAATGCAAAAGTGAATATTCTAATGGCAGGCTAGCTGATGTTCTGTACCTACCTGTTTCTTATTTTTAATCACTGAGGGAACAGTTAGATGTACATCTTCATGAATCCAAGATATCCAGTGTCTCTTAGCCTTTTCCGAACACACTGGTTTAGGCTGCTTCATTGGATGGTTTGGTCAGCATTCATCTGTGTGGAGAGGGAGACAGAGACTTAGATTTCCACATGTGGTTTAATACTGGTTTTGAGATGTATAGTTTATAGCTCGCTCAAACAACGAAACCCCAGACAGGATGTTCTCTCTAATTTTTGAAGAATTAAATCCAGAATAGAATTTATTGAGTACAGTGCAGTTATTTTTCTATTATTAAAAGAGATGTAATCTTAATTTGCAAGCACAGTTTCACGGTTGGTATTGCCCTCTTGACCTTATCTGTGGTGTTTAGTGATGATTTCACCCCCCAAGTTTTATTTTAAGGGTTCAGAAAAAGCTGTCAAAGTGAGAAACACCTATTGTTTTTTTAACTCACTCTTCTTCAGCTCAAAACCTAAAATCATTAGAATGGGGAGTTGAGAGATAAAAAAATAATATTTTCCTTTTTCCGTTTTATGGAAAGAGAATTTAGCAGTGTGAAGCTGAGTGATTAGTCATAGTGCTTTCATTATATGCCCCAGTGAAACAATATTAGTCAGATTCCCCAATTTGTTTGTGTGGGTTTTTCTGCAGATCAAAATGCAAGAAGGAAACCTTGTTAGAAATGGGAAAATATGATACTGAAAACCAAAAGAACTGAGATGACAGAGGGACAATATAATATGCACAGCTGCTTTGAACTTCATTTTGTATATGCAAGATCTCAGATTGAAACTTGTTGTGCAGGGGTTTACTCATTGTTCTTTGTGATTGAGTTCCTTGTTTTGTGCATATTTTCACTTCTTACAAAACTTGTCAATAAGAAAGCTCATCTTGGTCATCCATGTCAGACTGGGTCTTTAGTTATAACAGTCTTTATGTCACAGGAGACAGCATGCTAGCGGGACATAAGATGAGACCATGACCAGAATTAGTCAGAGGATGGCAACTGCTTTGCATGGCAACTTTGCAAGGTTCTTGAAATTCATGCTGGTTTATTATTAAGATATTTGGCTCACATGGCTTTCCTTGTAATTAGCCAAAGCACTTCAGTTTGGGTTTCTTTTGTTAAGCATTCAATGGCAGAACTTGGGTTGAAACTCAATACGAGAGTGAGGGGACTTGCTGGGGCATGTATGCATTGGTGGATGGGCATATGTATAGCACTAGTGTGGCACACGGGAGGCTGGTTCAAGACCATGCTCTGATTAAAACCCCATTTTTTTCCATTCAGAATTGACTCAGACTAGGCATTGAGCCTCTGGGGTTCATTCCCTTTTGTGTCAGGCTCTGTACAGTTTGTTTCTGTGGTTATGCCTGAAGGTATGACTGCAAAAGTAGGTGCTCCAAGTCTACCTTTAAGCTGGCCATCTTGGGGTCTGAAACTCTTGTAGGCACAGAAGGTTGAAGCCTCTAAATCTGTGTTCACAAGGCTCCAGTGAAAATGAAATGTGAAATACTGGAGCTTTGGTCCATTGGTTTAGAATGATCGCAGGTGACATAGTTGGTTTTTACAGGAAGATACAACAAATACTCAAGGAATTTACCTCAGACTCCGTGGATTATTGATGGGGAGCGGAAGCTGGAATCCTCAGTGGAAGAGCTGATTTCAGAGCACCTAATGGCAGAATTCAAAGCAGATAGTAAGTATCTTCGACATGTTTTCTCATCATAAATATTTTTTCTTAGTAGCTACTCACTTAATACAAAAGTGTAATGGAAAAAAAAAAAGTTTCCTTATGCAACTTTTATCCTTCCAAGTCAAAAATTGGAAACGTTTTTTATCTATGATCTGTGAGAGACTAGATGCAGTCTTTTATCCTACTAAAATAGCTCCTCAGTTGATCTGATGATGTGAATGTTATGGTTACAGTACTATGTGACACCTGATTCCAGCTTGCAGATTTATCACAGTGGTAGTGCATGGGCAGTAATGTTGAGAAGAGATATAAACAAGTAGAAAGACGACTGTCAGTAGCTCAAGGGAGGTGCCTTTTACTTGCCTTTTACTCAGCACTGGAGAGACGTATCTGGAGTATTGGATCCAGTTCTTGGCTTCCCAGTACAGGAAAGATGTGGACATACCTAAGTGAGTCCCTCCTTCAGGCAAAGCTTGAAGGTGGAGGGGATATGGTGAAGGAAATTACATACCCAACAATGCATTTTTGAAGCTTGAAAGATGAAAAAACCCCAAATACGCAGAGGTCACTTTTCAGTTTGGACTTGAGTTTTCTTTCTCTTTTCTCCAGATATGTGACCAGCAGAAATTTCTCTGATATCTTTAGAAACTATCGGGTGTTTTTAGGATAAAAGGTTGTGTTTTGGAGCAAGACAGCTCAGTTTGATTTTATTCATAAACTTAAATTATCTGGATAAGAAATTAACGCAATTAATAAGTGGAATTCCTATAGGATTGTACTGCTTTACTTTAGGACAGTTTCAAGGTTGGCACAGTCTCATTCAGGCCAAGGAACTAGGAATGTTCTTCAAGACAGTTGTGCATCAGTAAGCAGTAACTGTCTCAGATTTGTTCCTGAGGTGCAGGCTTCATTTTATAAAGATAGCTCTTCAAAGCAGATCTGCAAACAAGTTCAGGAAGAAAATATTTCACCTTTTAAAAGCTGTAGAGTGTTAAAAATGCAAAATCAGATCTCACCTGCCTTGTTATAATCTGTTGTAGGCTTTAATTTTTCTTCCTCTGGAAGAGAAGATGTGGATGTAAGAACACTAGGCAATGGTAAGGTTTGAAACATCCCTTGTGAAGCACAGAAACACACAAAATGGTCAGCTGAAGATACCCTAATAGCTCTAATGCTAAGTGCATAAGTGTGTGACTAGGCATGCTCTAAAATTCAATCTCAGAAACATTTTAGTGGTATCTATGTATATATTCCCCAAGACTGAACCATTTCATAAATCCAGCTGAAAGAGAAAGCCTTTTTCAGTGTCCTTGGCTGCACAAGTGTATGGAAATGCATAGCTTGTTGGAAGAATTTTATTCCTATTCTTAAACCATTTGTATCAGACTGATTCCTGTCTTGTTTTCTGTTGGGTCCTACTTTGCCTCACTGTCACTGGGGAGGAGAAGGCCTTATTTCCTTTCTGAACTTGGGTCCTTTAGGAAGGTCAGTTGCTTTCCAATATGCTGAAGCTGCTACAGCCAAAGGACGAGGGGAAAGAAAAAGTCAAAATTAACAATGATGTGTTCCAGTTGCTGTCTGATCTGTAATGTAGTTCTTGGCATTGCTTATACTAGGGATCATCCCTGGCCCTGAGCACAGAAAGTGCAGCTATTGCAACAGATGTTTAGCGGAGGGAGCGGGATTTAACATCATCTTGCACCTGGGCATTGCTGTAGGTGACAGAAAATAAGCTAATTAACTTTTTTTCTTATTTTATTTTTTAATTAGCACAGACTTGTACAAGATGTCTTCTGGGAAGTTTTAATTTGCACTTATTGCTGATACTGGGGTTTAGTAGCCAAAAAAATGTCCCTTGTTTCTTTCCTTCCATCTGATGCTACGTCCCTAAACCCGCAAGTCCTGTCCCTGTTTGCATAACAGCAGACAATCTTCACACCTTCCAACCTTCCTGCATAAATCCAGACGTTAATTTAGAACAACATGTTTTTATGTTTTATGACTCTGCATGTTGCCAGGAAGGCCCTTTGCAATTGAGCTTGTGAATCCTCATAGAATACATTTTACTGCTGAGGAAATGAAGAGGCTTCAGCAGGTAAATCATTTGCACCTCCTGGAACTCATAAAACATGTGTTTCTGCTCTAACTGAGCAGGTTTTCTAACTGATTCTTTTTTAAATATCACAGACAATTAATACCTCTTCAGACAAAATACAGGTTCGAGATTTACAGCTTGTCACCAGGTCAGTATTTATTATCGCTGGCAAGGGATTTCAAAGTGATGCTGTGGGAGTTTTGCAAGCATTCTTGCTCACAGCATTATACAGTTATGCTTATATTATGGGAGTAATTAATTTCTTTTGTTTAGAGAGGCAATTGGTCGTATGAAGGAAGGTGAAGAGGAGAAGACAAAGACCTACAGTGCCTTAATATGGACAGACAAAGCAATACAGAAAGAAGATATTGCATTTCTAGATGATATCAAGGTAGCTGGTTTTGCTAATTTATATAGTACCTGTCCTGGTGCCTTAGGGGAGAGTTTATGTGCACCCATGAGCATATCTCTTTCTCTGGGTTTGGTGTTTTTATCATTAGGGTTTCTCTTGCTATAGGGACTCTCATACCTCCCTTCTCAGTCTTCCTTACTTCTCCATTGTCATCTTAGCAATACAGCTGGCTGGCTGTTAGCCAGACCAACACATTACTGTATAATGTTGACCTACCTGTAAACCAAATATGAAAATTAGCAAATGGGAGAGGGGGAAATCTGGCACCTGCACCCCTTTCTTTACCTTGGATAGTGTTTTGCAGCAGTGCAAGGAGCAGAGGAGATCTTTAGTTCTGCAGGCTCTAAAGTCATTCTTCCACAGCTGCAGCAATAAGGAGTTTGCAATGTCTGTGGTAAATAATGCAAAGAAGCCTTATAAAGTGTTCAGTGGAAGCAGCACACTGGGTCAATGAGGGCTTGCTCTGAGTGTTGGTTAGGGAGATGCTGCTGATGAGAAGGCTGTTCAGTTTCTGTTGTCTTGCACCATTCCCTATGGGTCTTGGCCATTAAATCATTCTCAAAGTAAGGGTTTGAGCCATTACAGTTCAGGGAGACAACTGTTGTGATGCTCTTTTCTTAGCATGCCCACTCCCTGAGAAGTTGCCTTTCAGACTGCTGCATCTCATTTGGGAAAGGGGGTAGGGAATGAAAAGAGTGCTCTGAGATCTAATCTCATTTAGGCTTTTTTCCCTCACTTTTATTTCTAGGGTCTTGGCTGTAGTTTAGACAAAGCATTTTGTGGGTGGGATTTTTTTAGGTTTTTGATTGCCTTGAGGCTCTCAGTGAGCTTCTAAATCCTGGAGTCATTCCAGCAAAGGACTATGGAGATTTCAAGGTTATTCCTCTGTATTTGTGATTCCATTAGTTTGTGTTCATATGAGGCCTTCTCATTTAGCCTTTGAGATGGCTGTCCTTAGCTCCTTTGATAAACACAACAAAACTTAGCTTTGCCTCAGGATTACTCAGCTACCATAATACAAAAGAGATGTGGTTGCTTAACAATACACGACTGTTACAATATGTGTTGTATGTTGCACATTTCCTTCCTCATTTATTTTGTTACCACCTGTAACAGGAGTTAAAACTCGACCAGAAGACCCCTCTGCGAGTGCTTCACAGGAGGCCTCTTGCTGTAAGATGTAGGATCATTCACACCATGAGGTCTGAGTACATAGACGAGCATCATTTTCGCCTGCACCTGAAGACTCAGGCAGGAACGTATCCTTAGAAGCTGTTACACAATGCTTACAGCTTGCTGATGAGAGTCATTTCGGTAATGGGAAGTTTCCTGCTTTTATCACTGTGGTGTTTCTAAGTCTCTGTTCTTCAACACTCATATGTTGCTGCTTAATCTTTGCTTAATTTCACATTCAGGCTTTCATTCAGCAATACTATCTCCATGTGCATGTGTTTTTGTGATGACCACTTTGTTAAAGTATGTGATAACTATAAAAATATACTGGTTAAAGATAGATACTCTTAAGCTTTTTCTAATTTAACTGAAAACTTTTCACCTTAGAAAATAAGCTTTTCCACAATATTTAATGCACTGCAGATTCCTGCTACTTACAAATTAGCAACTTTTGTCATAAATGAGTTTTTGTCACCACTCGCTTTGGAATGAAATAGAAAATGCAGGTCCATAGTGCAGGTTTTGGCATCCGAGTCAAAAGCCAAGAATGAGGAAGTCTTTTAAAGATGGATATGGCATTAACAGGATGTTTATTCACTGCAAATGGATTTAGGAGTAGAAAAAGGCACTATTTTGATTTCTTTGTGGCAAACACACCTTTCCTTAGCCAGTATTTCTAGCTACATTAAAGAATTTGTGCACGGAGACTTTGGAAGAACAAAGCCCAATATTGGCTCCCTGCTGAACCGAACTGCTGACATTCTGGAGCTGGATGTAGAAGTAAGTTGTCTGTTCTTTATCTTTCCTGGAAATTAGTCAGGTAGTTGCATTTGTGAGGTGCTTTCAGTGGAATTATTCTAACCAAATCTACCACAGCTAATAGAAAAATTGCTGTTAACGCAAAAATAGTGGTTTGCATCCTGCTGACACACAGGACAGGCTTCCTTGGCTTAAGTCATGCAGGGAGGGATGGGAAGACATACTATGAATTGATGACACTTGTGATTAGCAACCACTGGAACACAGCTTAGCCATGTTACATGTAGCACATCACTTCTTTTCAAATTGAAAAATAGGAGAGATCTGAGTTCCTTTTTCAGTGCTGGTTCAAACACAGCAAGAAATTATATCTGCTCACTTGCTGGCATCAAATGAAAAGCCAGAATTTGTTTTGGTTAAAAGAATGTATGTAGAGATATGGATTTAACACTTAACGTCATGGTTTGGCAAGGTTCATTTAAAACACGTGCTTTCATTTCAGATAGCCATTGATCAACATGCTTGTTCTCATGTACTTCAGGAGAGCTGCCCACCTGTTACATTTTGCATAACAGCCTTGTAGTTTTCTGCATATCTTTTGTAGGATAATACAGAAGGAGAGCTTGCAGAGGGCACTTGAGTTAGTTTGGAAAGCAGGAACACCTGATGGGGCTCAGGCTGATAAGTATCACTTTCATACGGATAGGTGTCACTGCAGCTATTGGACATAACTATGAAAGATGTTTAGGGACCTGAAAATAATTAGTCATCTTGCTAGTAATGCATTTTAGCTCAGCCTAAGAGCCTACTCCTTTGATGCAGTTGTAGATTAGCTGAGGAGTAGGTATGATTAATGTAGGCAGTCTTGGAGCCAAGATGTTTAATGTGCTGTGGGGCGATCCCCGCTTTGTGAGATTGCAAATGGTGATACCGTGGAAGCATTGGGTGTGTTGCTTTTGGAAGAAGGGGAGCAACAAGTTGATGCCCAAAGGGAAGTGGAGATGTAGCCTCAGGGAAGCAAGACATGATCCAAGCTGTAGTAATTACGACATTTGCTTCTAATAGAGTGTCAGGCGTGTGTTGTCCATTTTAACTAACAGTCAGGGTAACTGTTCACGATCTTGCCTAGATGACTCTTGCACATAATGCATGACAACTTATTCTTTTAGTCTAGTTTTCCTTACTCAGAAGGCAGATTTGGGGGCAGGCGATGGTTTTCTACTCGAGCCTTGCCTGCACTGCCCAATACCTGAATATTTCTGTGGCATCAATCCACAAGTTGTTTGTTTTCACAGCGTCATGACCCATATGCAGGATGTGTAGAAGGTGGAGATGGTCCATGTTTCTCATTAACAGATCTGGACATGTTGTAAACGCAGCCCTCCATGAAGCGATGCTGGCCAGTAGTAGTATAAAGAGTTGTGATTCTGCCTTATGAAGAAAGCCCGGCTCTTAAAGCTCTCTCCAGACACATACAGAGCAACCAGAAAGAAGTGGCTGTTTCATGCCACTGGTTCTTGCTAGTCATGTCCCACGTCTCATTCCTCAGTGTCATTTATTTACTGTTTCTTTCCACTATAAACCTAGTGCTGACAAGCATAGAGCGTGCTACTAAATCTCTTTATATATGTAAAATATCAAGTCTGTTGATTTTGCCTTTGTTTTTTTCCCCTGCATTTCAGTCTGTTGATGTTGACTGGCCTCCAACCTTGGATAATTAACTTCTCAAGCTGGGATGAGGAAGAAGCAGCTCTGCTGTCAGCAGCTGGTTACTGAGCACTGTACAGTATTAGAGCCTGGTTGCAAACTGATTTCTGTTGCACATTTGGATCATGTTGATCTGCCAAAGGATACTGTTACTTTGAATCAACTTTAAACACTCTGGACAGGTAGTGTTGGTTCAGTCTCTAGCCTTACTTTAATCGCCTCAGTGGATAAAAGGATTTTGGTAAGTTACTGTATTGATACTATGTCTTTTTAAAGGAACACAGTGTAACATGTGCAAAGGGGGTACTCAGCGAGTACATCAAATAGCCATTCTGCAATAGATTAAAATGTTTTCATTAAAAACAACCCTCCCTCAAGCCAGATGTATTTATTTATTTTAAACTGTTTGTATATTGGGTGCTACAGCTTTTGTCATCTGGATGCAGGTAGCACAGGGTTACCTGAAACCCAGTCCTAACTTTTCCCAAGTACTGTTTATGCAGGAAATCCCCCAGATGAGGGAGACTGAAACCAACAGTGCCTGGGAGGGAGGTGGTGCCTCACTCTCTGCTAACTGGTTTTTGGGCAGTGGCCGTCACTATTGGAGAAGGGCAATCTGTCTCCTAGACAAAGTACTTTTCAAAGGGAAAACCAGTTTTCAGAGGAAAACTTCACTTACACCCAAGTTCTTCTCACTTAAAAACATCAGCAAGGCTTCCTAGAAAAAGAACAGATGAGGTACTTGAGGCCTCAGCAGCTCTCTGGCCTGGTTACAGTTCTCTTCAGGCATAGGATTTCCCCAGTTGAGTCACCATGTATAAAAAGATTGGGAACTCCTGGCAGAGGTGCATAATGGAAATGTAAAGAAAAACAGGAATACCAGGAACCTCAAAGTGCAGGCAAATATAAAACATAGCAAAGAATGGTGGTATTGAGAGACCAAGACAGAGAGAAAAAGCTTTGGTTTAGTAGCATAATACATTTCTTCTAGTATCTAACCTTGGATGGGTGCCTATAAGAGTTGAACACTGCCTAGGAACTTCCTGGAATAAGGAAGATCTGAGGGTTTTTAATTTGCTTATTTTATGTTTCATGCAAAGCACCACCTACATCTTTAGGAAAAGCCACTTTTATGCCTGTATCATGTTAATTCACTAGGAAGATGCTTCTGCTTACTTAAGTACAGAAGAGAGTTAAACTCTCAACTAGAAATTAAGGTTTGGAATATAAGGGCTCTCCGTTAATTCACATTTCATAAATAAAGGTGATATTTGCCAAGACAAACCACTATTTGGGATTACTGAGATGTTTTACCTTCAATTCAGTGGTTGCCAGGACCTCATGATAGAACAACTGCAGGATAACTTCAGCTGAAGGCTCAAAAAGGTATTAATAAATACACCTTCAAGGAGCTCCTAAAAGCTAACACAAAAATAATAGGAACATGATTCAGAGAGCAGTATGGTTTTGTTTTCAGTCTTAAAGCTGTTATGAGCAACAGATTCCAGGCATGGTTGTCTCAGGCAATGATCTGTACCCAGAAAGGAAGTGTCATGAATGATGGAAAACTTACACTGAATTTAGAAGACAGACAAAAGAGAATTTCAGTCTCCTATCAATGGGATTTCTTGAAACTCAAAGTGAGCCAAGATATGATTTAAAAATTCCATAAACTGAAGGGGAAAAAATGTAAACAGGACTGCACTGTGGACACAACAGGCATGAAAAGTGCTGTTCCAAGGGGAAATGGAGCTAACCAGGCTGAGGCAGACAGGGCTCCTGCCCTACTGCAGCTGCAGCTTTCTGCACCATGCTGTACGTTTTCCTGGTGACAGTGGAGATCATGGTAACAATTCAAGTGTGGATAAACAAAGCCATAAAGGTTAAACTAAATGTGCTGGGTCTAACTTCTTCTCCATACAATGTGGAGAGATAGATACACTGAAAATCCCCAAATTGTTTATTTTTATGATAAATGCGAAGCATCCAAATGAGAGGGAGAAGTCAGCTGACAAGGCAGAAATCTCTACAGCCCTTTAAGTAGTTATTGTTCAGTGACCATGTGAAAACATAAACATGAGAGCTGTGATCTGGGGGTCTGAACTTCTGTTTAAATCCCGATGTTTCTAATACAAGGTAAACACTTTGAACTATCAGAAGCTCTAATGAATATTGCAGCAGTAATATTAATTATAGAATCATAGAACGCTTTGGGTTGGAAAGGACTTTAAAGCTCATCCAGTTCCAAGCCCCTGCCACGGACAGGGACACCTTCCACTAGGCCAGGTTGCTCCAGCCCTTGAACACTGCCAGGGATGGGGCAGCTCCTCGGGGCACCCTGTGCCAGTGCCTCAGCACCCTCACAGGGAAGAACTTCAGCCTAATGTCTCATCTCAGTCTCGCCTCTTTGAGTTTAAAGCCAAATGTTGTACTTTGTACAACTTCAGTGTAAAATACCTACTTGCAAGTACTCAAATAGGATGTTTTGTGAGAAGGAAAACCTGTTCATTACGTGTGTGTGAGATGAAAAAGTGTTACATGAAAAATAGTGGAAAATTTTAGGTCCTTTTTCATTTAGCACCATCCTTCTTCACACTGGAAGGACTCGGAATAAAGCTGTTGTATGTTGTACCAGCTCTAGCTGAGCATGGAAGCATTTGTCCTCTCTTCTTTGACTAAGAAGTCAATGGCTGTGCCACAGGAAATGCGAGATGACCCCTTCCTGCACACACTGCTTAAGGTTTTGTTGTGGCCAGTAGTACCCATGAGCAGAAAATCCTCTAGAAGGCAACTGATAACCTACCTTCTCCCATTTCTCCTGTGGGGAGGGATGCCACACATCTGAGGTTGCAGAAGCAGAGCGCTTGGTACAACCAGTTTTTTAATTACCAAACTGACCCGTTTACAAAGGAAAACAGAACTTTGAAAATCTTTAATGATGATACAGTAAAACCAAACTGTAACATGAAGAGCTTCCTATGAAGTGAGGAAAATGTTTACATTTAATATACTTCAAATTGAGAACTTCAAAGAACAATAAAAAAGAACTGAATAAACACATTCTGAGCTTTCTTTGTATTTCTTTGGTCTTTCTATTACTTAGGACTGCAGAGGAGCTATGCAGAGGGGAGGAAAAATGGCTTTAAAACAGAAAGTGAATTCCTTGTGTCGTGTGCCTGGAGTTAAGGGAAGCAGTTTTCCAAACTTCATCTATCCTACATGTTGTCTAAGGAGCATATTCCATCAAACCCATGGAATTGGTGTAATGCATTCCAGAGGCAGCACCTTGTTGCTTTGACTGCAATGAATTCCTGCAGTTAAGGAGTCACTGCTTTTCTATAAACCACGGGGACTTTTTGGTGTTCTTTCTGCCTTGTGTACAACTACTCACCTCAATAGTTGTGTGATTTGGGATTGTGGTTTGGGGTTTTTTTTATATATCAGTGTGCTTTTTTTATTGCCTCTTCCCATGGTGCGGTTTTACGTTGCCAAACAGTAACAGTGAGATTCTTAAGCCTTAATTGCCATACCAAACAGCTGTATAAATTAAGAAATACTCAAGTATTTCTTGCTGCAGTGATGCTTAAAAAATAATAATAGTATTAATAATAAACCAGCAAAGCCCTATGATGCAGAGTGTCTTAACCTAGCCATTTACATCCATGTGAGCTGCCACTGAACATCTCACAACTCAGGCTAAGAAGGAAGACTGGGAATCATGTGGAAGGCAGTTAAGTTCTGGTTTCTGATGTACGGCATAGAGGAGTGTTTGTACTTAGCGCAGACTGCAATGGCTGCGAGTTGTTCCTAGGACTGCCTCCAGCTCTGCCCCAAAAGCTGTCTTGTGGTGGGGAGGCAGGATCTGAGCCTTCTTTTTAGGCAGTCACTTGCATAGCAGGAAACTGCCATGATGCCTGAGGAAAGAACAGGTAGATGCTTCAGCTCAACAGATTTCCCCAGTTCAAAATGACAATGTGCACAAAAAAACTTCCAGAGAAATACCAGCGTGCTCCATTCCTAAAGCAATGGGGTTTGTCGTTTAAAACAGTGCACTTGGGAAGAAGTGCAGAGAAGTCCTCACTTGCTGTTCGTTCTTTTGTGCAGTGATTCATTTACAACAGAGCTGGACTCTTTAAAAAACTCAAACCTTCCGGTCTGTTAAAAATACATCTAACAATGACATAGTCATTAAAAAGATTTTAAGAGTAAATTTGCCTTCAAAGCAAATGGATTGTGGTGAGACCGTAAAAAAAGAAGATATATATGAATGCATGATGATGGTTAGAAGACTATTTTGCACGGACGAGGGTAAGAAACCTAAACCTTTCAAGTTGAGTCCAACCTGAACAGGGTTAGGTGAGTCTGAACTGCAGTGCCCATGTGCAGGGTTTTTCTTCCCTTAGTTTCTGTCCTAATAAAACTTAAATCCAATTTTCCTAGCAAAAATAAAATTGTTCTTTTTCAACCAGTTTGAACCCTGTGAAGCGTTTGAAAACCCTTCTGAAGACACCAGCTTTTGCAGTTCCCAAAGGTCAGGAAGATTTAAGTGTTAACGGTTTCCTTTTCCAACAGTGTAAAAGTAGGTATACAAGGTATTTTTAAGGTACAGAACCCCATACTGTCCCCCCACCTCTCTTTCTTTTATGGGCACTGCTCTTTGGGCTGTGATTTATATATCATGAAACTTGCAGAGCAACCTTCTGAAAGAGAAAGCAGGGCCTCCAGAAGGGTAAGTTACTCTTCTTCTCACAGCTAGGCGTCTATGTACCCGTTCAATGGTTAAAGTTCTGTAATATGCTATCAAATTGGAAAGACGGATAGAACTCGTTAGCGTGGACACCATCGGTGTCATAGTACTGGTTATCTGCAGTGCTGCTCTGCGGGTTTGGGATGGGGTTGCTGGAGAGTCTTGATTCACTCAAAACTTCATGGTCTATAAAGCTGTAAAGCGCCGGGTCAGCTAAGTTAGGCTGCGGGTTGAAGGGCATGCTGCCCGGGGCTGCTCCCGATGGGCAGGCTGGAGGCACTGCGTGCAGCTGCTGCCTGGGGCTGCTCGTGTTCAGCATGGGGTTGTACTTATCAAAGTTCATATTGGTGCAGGTCATGTCGTCGGTCTCCATGCTGACAATGGGGGCGGTGGAGATGCTGGAGGGATGAGCTGCGTGCGCGACGCTGTTACTGGACACACTCTGCATGTCTGCCCCGGACACCGACACCGCTCCCAGCCCGTTCGTGCTGCTGATATTCCGGTAGAAGCCCGAATCCTTCTCATCAGGCCAGGTCAGAGCGTTGTGGAAAGCTGGGAGGGAGCTGCTGCCCTGAGCACCAGGCTGGGACATGTCTGCCCCAAAGCTGTTCTGTGTGTGTGCCCCGAGCAGGCTGCTGCCTGCATTCAGGGTGCTGCACAGTGGCCAGCATGAGGACAGCGTGTCCTGCTTCCCTGGCCCCAACTGCGCCAGTGCATGGGGCATCTGGTTGCGCACAGGGTAGATCTGACTGGAGTTGTCCAAGGCTCCCAACCCTGGCATCACCAGTGAGGAGGAAAACATGTTTGGTTCTACGGAAAGGAAAGATGTGACTGAGTTTTAATGCCACTTTTTATGGGTTTTTAAATTACAAGTGGTAAAAAGCAAAACCAGTGCTGTCTTAGTAAGACTATACAGCCTATACTAGCTTAACTGCTCTACAGGGTGGACCCCAGGCTTCTGGAGAGAAAGAGAAGGCAGAGAAGAGGTCTAAAACAGCAACCCATCTCACCCCCCCCACTGCAACCACTGAACGTGACAGCTACAATTAGGAACTGATGGGTTTATTTTGCATAGTCTAAAGTACCCGTGTCTCAAAGGAAGAAATCCTCAAGAGAATATCAGAATTTAAAACATAGAGGAGGGAAGGCCAGCAACTGTTCTGCGCCCCTCATTGCAAGAGAGACACTGAGGTACTGGATGGGGGCCAGAAAAGGGCAATGGAGCTGGTGCAGGGCCTGGAGCACAAGTGTGATGGGGAACGGCTGAGGGACCTGGGGGGTTCAGTGTGGAGAAGAGAAGGCTCAGGGGGGACCTGATGGCTCCCTACAAGTGCCTGAGAGGAGGATGGAGCCAGGAGGGGCTGGGCTCTGCTCCCAAGGAACAAGGGATGGGACAAGAGGAAGCGGCCTCAAGCTGCACCAGGGCAGGTTTAGATGGAGCTGAGGAACAATTCCTGCCCCAGAGGGTGCTCAGGCATTGGAACAGGCTGCCCAGGGCAGGGCTGCAGTCACCGTCCCTGCAAGTGTTCACACACTGTGGAGACGAGGCCTCAGTGCCATGGGTTAGTGGTGGCCTTGGCAGTGCTGGGGAGTGGTTGGACTGGATGAGCTTAAAGGCTGGACTTGATGAGCTTAAAGGTCTTTTCCAACCCAGCTGATTCTGTGATTCTATGACTGAGTGTTTGAAAGGTGGAACATAGAGGATGGGTCATTATCTAAACTAAGGCTGAACTTCAAGATGAAGGTGGTGTAGCCCTCTCCTGTGCAAAGGGGAAGCTGCAGCATGGCTGAGGCTTTGAGAAGCATCTGGAGAAGGGAGTAAGAGACAGGAACTGTCTAGGGAACTTCAGTGCCCCCCTAAAAATGCTCCAACCCTTCCCCACAACCATTGGACATGATCAATTCCAAAGCAAAACCCTACCTTTCTTAATCATCTTCCCTTCAGGAGGGACACCAGGGAACGGAGCGACTTTGGGCCTCTCTGTCACACTTGATCCTGCGATGGAAGAAAGCGCTGAGTCAACACTGGACATTTGCTTTTACATAAAGTAACTCCATCTCGATGTCAGTTCACTCAACCAAAGTAAACCCCAATATTTCCCTTACCACAGTCCTTTATCAGCTTTTGCAAAGCCAGCGTTGATCTCTGCCTCTTTGCTTTGTTGCCATACGGATCTACAGAGAAAGGGAAGGAAAAGGGTTACATTTCTCTTTGATAACCTATTAGTGGCACCTCACTGTAGTAAGATATTTAAAGATATATATTTCAGACATGACAGCATTAATGAACCAAGAAACTGCTTCAGGTAAAGGCAAACCCACTCTTGGGATTGCTTTTGCACAGGGACCTGGATATACTTGTGGGTTCAAAGCCAGGCTGGATGGAGTCCTGGGTGACAAGATTTAGTGTGAGACGTCCCTGCGCACGGCAGGGGGGTGGAACTGGGTGATCTTAAGGTCCTTTCCAACCCAAACCATTTTATGATTCTATGATTCTTGATACTTTCATTGAAAGAGGAAACAAACTGGCTACTCTTAATTCTAAAACCCCCAAACCTGCTTTGTAGAAGTAGGATTGTAGTATCTTTACTAATTAAGCTTACAATCAACACAAGGTCTGCACTGCTAATGGCTTTTCAGAATGTCAGCTAATCGGAGCCATACCCTTCTCATCTGGTAGGTATCTGAAATCCATGGGTTCACTGACTTCCTGGTCTGATGGCCTCCTCAGCTGCATCTTCACCGTGACGGGCTCAGTGATGTCCCTGAGGAACGGCGGCGTTCGGAACACGATCGCTACCTGACGGTGAACGTCAGCTTGGGAGAAGGAACCTTTGGCCTCCCAGTTGTCCAAGACGAATCTGACTTCGATATCATCTGGTCCATTAGAAACAGAAGATGCTTGATAAGGTGAAGAACTGAAAACTTGCACAGGAGAAAGGGGAGAAGGGGAACACAGAACAGAGTCTGACTCTGAATTCAGATGCAAAGCAAATGACTTTAAAGGCACTGAGGTGCCTTTGAACGTGAAAGCTACGTTATGAAACCAAACCACCCAACCGAGAGTGTGCTGAAGGGCTTCAGTTCCCCAGCTAGAAAGTGGTAACCAGCCATGTGGGACAAAGGGAAAGGAAGAACCTCGTCAGGATTACCCTTCTGAACTTTGTCACACAGCAGAAATATCTCATCTCCTCCTTTTACGCTTCCACAGTTCTTGTTCACCCGACAAATCCTCAGTTCTGCCGTGTTGGGAGCTCCTGGAAACAAACAGGCAAATTTGATGGTGAAGAATTACAGTAACTTGGTCACTGTTGAAGATGAGGTGCTGGGAGTTCAGGTGTAAGAAGGGAAGGCAGGAACTGGAGAGTGTGACACCCCGAAACCCACAGGGAACACGTGCTCCATACAGGGAATGCAGAAGCGGGGCTTCATGTTCTGTGACCCTACAGTGCTCAGCCTCTCAGCTCTGTGCCACTGGCTCCTAAACTACTCTACAGCAGTCTCAGAATGCTTCCCTGAATGATGTGGTTGTGCTTGGTGCTGCTGCCCTTCAAGCTGGAGCACTCAAAGCAGATCTTAGAGTGACCAATCACTTGTTACAGTCATACTTCTCTGGGCTACCAAGTCAAGAACCCCCCCCCCCGTGTATGTGGTTGTAGTTTTATTCACAGATGTACTTGGCCATCAAGCCACTACTCTCTCAAGGTGTTTGAGAACAGGTCTATGAGCCCAATTTTCATGCCTTTACTCAGGGTAGAAGGTTTTACCCCAAAACACTCCAGCTTGTGCTGTACATGGACAGGCTCCTGATAGCTGAGGATGGAGAGGATGGAGAGCTGCCCCATGCACAGTCTCTGGTACCATCGTACTTGCACCAAACAACCCAACGGATATGGACAACCCATGTGGGACAGAGATGAGCACTGCCTGATGGCATCTGGCCCTGTTCAGCAGCAGCTTTCTTGCAGGGTAAATATGGACAGGAGATGACTGCAAGAAAGAACAGTCCCCTTGGAGCTCCATGGGCCCCAAGGAGCTTTGTGGGCTATGTTACAATTGATTTACGAGGGCGCTAATGTCACCATAGATCCAGAAGTAACAAAGAACAAAAGCCAGAATGGAAGAACTCTCTAGGATCTCAAGTTCACCCCCTGTGCCTATATGCTGTGTTGATACTATGAAGTACATGAGCACACACCAATCTTAAGACCCTGTTTTCATTTAACATACAAAGTAACTGATGATCATATTAGCCGTGATATGTGATAAAGGTAAATGCTCCATCCCTGGCGGTGTTCAAGGCCAGCTTGGACAGAGCCTTGGGTGACACGGTTTAGTGTGAGTCATCCCTGCCCATGGCAGGGGGTTGGAACTGGATGATCTTAAGGTCCTTTCCAACCCAAACCAGTCTGTGATTCTATGATTCTATATCAGTAGTGATATGTGACCACATCGGTAGTTTCCTACACCCTCTTCCCACCTCCGATCCCAACAGAACAACACTACAGTGTGCTGTGATGTTCTCTCATCTTATATCCAAGACATCAACTCCAAACGTATTTAAAGTGCCTGTGAGGATCTGGCTGGTGCCACTTTGCCACCCAACCAATCCTTCTACTGCTACAGGAACCATGAGCTCCCTGTTCCAGGCACAGAGATCAAACACGAAACCAAAGCTCACGGTGTCACCCTCCAAAAAAAACCCAAAACCATTTCCTTTAGACACTTGGTTTGAGTCGATTCCTGCCCAATCTATCATGGCACTGTAGAACACCACCGAACACACTTAAAACAGAGCTTCATGGTAACGTCAGCCAGGCCCCAGTTACACAGTTGCTATCTGCAGCTATTACTAATATTATCATTAGGAGAAGCGGGGGCTCCAGCCTCATTTACTACATGACACACACCATTTGCTGAATGAATCAGAAACTCTGAAGGGAGAGGAAGCAAAACAAGGCCAGAAACAGCGCGGGGTCATATGAGTGACAGCGTCACTGCATTTTCACGGGAAGGGTAAATTAAGACTTACAAGGAGAAGCCTAATTTTACCTTTGTTTCACTTCCGTAGGCTTGAATGGCACTCGATGGCCTTTTGACAGGTTTTGGGGAAGCCTTCCTAGGCTGGAGGTTGTTGTTTTGTGTTTAGACAAAGAATTCAGAAGGGAAGATAAAGGAAAGAGATGCGAATGCCAGTAGATGTGGATGTGACATCCCCTGCTGTTAGCCCTGGTGCTGGGAGTTCAGCACCAGCCTCAAAGGGAGATGTTCACCACGGGCTCTGTTGCTTCCCATCCCCTGAGCACACCCTCACCTCACCATCACATCAACTCCCACCCAATTCCTGCTCCTGGCTCCCCAAAACCAAGTCCCTGGTAGCAAATCCCTATAAAATGAGCTTCTCACCAAAAATCACATCACTTTGACCCGGGCACAGCAACGTGTTCTCCATAACCCATTCCTTAGAAACAATCAACTGCTTCATCTGACCGCCCAAGAGATTTCAGTGTGCTAAAAGACACAACTTGGCAAGTTTCTGTTCAAAGCCAGTTAATACCATCAGCAACTGAAACCAAGCTGCCTGGAATGATACACGTGCTGCCTCTGCTAACGTGGTTGCCTCTCTGTTTGCATTATTCTTGTCTATCTCTGCTATCCAAAGCAGGTTGAGACCCCAGAGCATTAGAAAGTGAAGAGAACACTAAAGTGTGCGAGCTGATTTTCAGACAAGCTCTGAACACCTTTTTGCTCCCAATGTGACCACATCAGCAGAAGCTCAAGATTTAACCACCTCGGACTTGCAAGCCCCTCGTACCGTCGTCGTGCCTGTTATCTAAAGCCATAACCTGACCGTACCCAGCTCCGTACAACAGAGCAGGCTTAAAAGGGAGCATTTGTAAAAGCAACTCAGATCTGAAACTGCTCCAGGCACGAGCAGTGTGATTTGTATGGCTTGTGGTTGCAGTTATGCAGCTTTATGTACACCACTGCTACGCTACACAGAGGGCTTTACATACATGGAGCGTGACAGAGGCTGCCCACGCACACCCCCACTGAAAAGCCAAGCTTCCCCACCACGCAGCTACCCGTCACTGCAGCAGCTCAGCAAGCACTGACGTCAAGCAATGTTGGTGAGTAATCATGATCTGGCACATTTCTAAATGGCAACTGAGACCGAGCTGCTAACCTTGTGCATCAGTTTTATCTCAGCCCCTGTCAGTCCTACAAAGGCTCTCACTAACACAGTGCACAGGGCTCCAGCTTCCAGAAGAGACTCTGAAACCCACCTGAGTTCCTATTCCTGTTTTCACAAGGGCCTGTAGGGACAGGACAAGGGGGAATGGCTTTAACCTGACAGAGGGGAGACTGAGGTTAGACACTAAGAAGTTCTTCACTATGAGAGTTGTGGCACAGGGTGCCCAGAGAAGTTGTGGCTGCCCCATCCCTGGCAGTGTTCAAGGCCAGGTTGGACACAGGGGCTTGGAGCAACTTGCTCTAGTGGAAGGTGTCCCTGGATGTGGCAGGGGTTGGAACTGGATGAGCTTTAAGGTCCCTTCCAACACAAACCACTCTGGGATTTAACATTATCATAGTGAATATGCATGCCCACATCAGCACAATTCTAACAGTAACCTTATGAAATGCAGAAATCCATTTATTCAGCAGCTTCTGCTGCATTAATGACCTGAAGTGTTTAGAATGGAAACACTTCTGCTGCAGAAACAGAAACCACCACCAGGAAGTTTGAGGATTAAAAGTTCCTCTGCTGTTCTGCTCCAGGACAGAAGTCCAGCACATGCTGAGGGCTAAAATCTTTGACTGCAGTGACCTGCTGCTTCTGAGGCAGTATCTGGACTAATGCAGTCCTGGGGTAACGGTTGGACTTGATGATCTTAAGGCTCTTTTCCAGCCTTGTTGATTCCATGGTTCTATATGCAAGTCCAGTTTTGTGGAATGTAAAACTGTGCCAAGAAGGGTGTTTCACATAGTTCTGCACCCTCCCAGGGCATGATCAAACACTCCCCTGTTCCCTACTCTACACTGAAATAGCAACAAAAGGGATATATAAAAGCTTTAAGACAGTTTCCCACTGGGATAAATCTCTCGAGTCCTGTTCCAGAGCCCTCACAAGGCAAAGACAAGACTCCTCATGGGTACAAACAGGCTTTAGAGGACATCCTGTGACAGCAGATCAGTCTTGCAGCAGCCATCACCTCACTACCACCTATTTTCAATAGAGAATTCTTCATCTTCACACTGGGATCATCTTTTGAGCACATGCTCCTCACTGACCTGCCACGTGCTGGAAACCATGCATCCAGCAGTGCCAAATCACAGAAGTGACCAGGAGGACCGGCACGGACCTCAGAAACTGGGCTGGCATTTTCCATCCCAAGTGAAAGAGAACAACAAAAAGGAGGGGAAGATAAACCCAGGTACGGCTGGGTTGGTACTTACTGTTGTCATAGATGGGGTTGGAAATCAAAGGCGGAAGAGCTAAGGTGTAGTTGCCGTGTTCGTCGGGGAGGAAAGCCTGGAAGCAGAGGCGGACCACGTTGAGGTCGTACTCGTCGATGTTGTGGAGCTGTTCTTCAGGCACTGAGCAGCAGGAGGAGAGACAAGGCTGAGGATTAGACACCAAACCCTGCAGTGATTCATTAACAACCCCCCAGTGAAAGAGATGGCATTGCCAAGGCAGGCAAAAGGTGCCCATAGTCCCTGCTAGCTCTACAGGGGCTGCAGGAAGAAACTCCTTCTATAGAACAGAACCAGAAGCCTTTAACACTTCATCAATCGAGGCTGAACTGTCCTAGTTCTCCAGCTGTTTCTTGCCTATGGCTTCCTCACCTTGCCTGCCAGACCAGTTTCATGTATCCATAGTTTGAAAGGCATTCCCTGGACATGTTTCTCTCCTGTTTGTGCATGATAAAATTGACCAAATGAATGCTGCTCCCAGAGAGAAATATTTCACCATGAAGAAGCCCTAGGACATAGGTGAAAATTTACCACAGCAGAGCAAATAATAATATCATTGCTTTCCTTTAGAGATTGAGATGGAAAAATAACCAGAAAGACAGTTCTTGGGGCAAGAACGAAGCTGAAACAACACAAACCATCTCCCAGAACCATCAACATCTGTGTCCCTTCTGTACCTTTGAGAAGAGTGATCAGTGCCATCGTTATGATGCAATTTGCTAATACAACAAGCAAACCCTTGCTGGGAAGGATCCATTCCCTCACCTATACTGTGTAAACCACAGTAATGCATAACCCAAGCTCAGCACTTCAATTTTGTTCACTCTTTCACTTAATTTTAATCTCAAGACACTGGACCTGGCGTGTTGTATTGAGCATTTCATGTACCCCTGGCTCCGTTCTGGGAAAAGCATCCTCTTGGAACACGATGCTTTCCTTAAGGTCTGACATTAAACTATGACGTTGATATTCAGTGCTGGCAAGATGAGAAACTGATTTAATTTCGTTTAAGTGGAAGCACTGATAACTAAAATCATTTCAAGCGCCTCTCCCAGTTCAAGCACAGCAAGATGCTCCCTGCAGTTACCTAAAGCAAACGTGTGCCAAGTCATCAGATGACAACCGCTCGAGCTCGCTCCTCCCCTGCCCTTTCAGAGACCTCTTACAAGAAGAGGAGATTAAATGTGCCTGTGATAAGAAGCACGGGGATCCCACCGTACTGATTACATTGCCCTGCTCTGACCTTTAGAGTTTATCACAGGCTTGGTCTCCCCCCTGCCACGAGTGGGATTCCACAGTGCCCACTTGAAGGATTTCTTCCTTTTACCTTTTGAAAGTCTGAAACGTTAAGGGCACTCAGCCCAGAACACTTTCCACTGCCATTTTCAGCTCTGAATAGCTCAGGTTCTCCTGGTCTCTACTGCAAAAAGAAACCAAGTCACCTTTCGCTTAATAAAAGAGGATCCTCAGGAAACAGGTTTGGAACAGACACATTTGGCAGCCTCAGCAGCACAACCACCTCTGATCCAGCCCGACTTAGAGATTAAAGACAGATGAGTGTGTTCCCTGGACCATGCCTTGCGGAAGGGCTGGTCAGGATCTAAACACTGCTTTGCTCCTATCAGCTCGGCTGGGTCTAATCCATATCAGAGCCCCATCCCTGGCAGTGTTCAAGGCAAGGTTGGATGGGGCTTGGAGCAACCTGCCCTAATGGAAGGTGTCCCTGCCTGTGGCAGGGATTGGAATTGGATGAGCCTTAAGGTCCCTTCCAACCCAAACCAGTCTATGATGATCATGGGAGGCAATTGGTTCCCATGGACACTGGCTTCTGTTCCCATGTTGTATTAGCCACTGGCAACCACACGGACCCAGCCAGAATGCCCAAGCAGTGGTCAAACATCAAACCTCTTCAAAATGAAACGGAGCACAGAGATTCAATACCTTTGTCTAGGTCAGCTCCCTGCGGACAGAAGCCTAGCACAAAATCTGCATCTGGCTTTGCATTCTGAATCGAAAGCGGTTGCACAACCAAAGTCTCTCGTGTTAAAGCAGCACAAATAACAGCAGACCTAAAGCTTAAAGAGAACTCTGTAACTGCAAAAATACACCAGACACGGAGAAAATCAGTGATGTTTCTGTTCAAATCACATCACATCCTATACTTTCCTATCCTATTGCCATTCCCAATCAATCTGTTTAACCATCTGATATAGAAGAGTTGTGGGGTTCCCATAAGGAACCCCATAGTTAACCACAGCCACTGCTTTTTAAATCCTATTGCCAGAACCCTGGCAGGACACCGTGATCCACAGGATCACTGTCCACAGCTCACTGTGTTACAGCAAAACCACTGCTCCTGCTTTGCATGCTTACACATGATCTTCAACTATAAAAACCAGTAGTTTGAAAGAGGAAGCGTTCAGTGAAGAGTGATTCCTCTTGGGCTATTTTTAATCAGATGAGAAGAGCACAACAGGGCAGAAAAGGAGAACAAGACAGCTGCAACCCCATCGTGTGACGACAGCCTGAAGAGAACAGGCTGGATTCCGCGTTCGCACGAAGCTTTCATCAATTCCAAAACATGGGACAATCATCCAAGCAAAACACACCGTTGTTATTTTTAACAGACATCTAATCCTGATCCCTCTGAAGTCGGTTTGAGAGCAGCCACTCACTTGAACGGCTGCTGCCTTACACCTTCAGGTTATTAAAAGCAAACAAACCCGGGGCAGACAAACACACTGAGTAATGCCTGGAGTATGGCCGGATGGAGGATGCTCGTGGCGATTTCACCAACTTCTGCACAGGAGCACAGCAGACAGGGTTAAACCTGACTAACCTGAACTTATTAAAGTGAAGAAACCCTGTCGAGGAGGTTGGGAACAGTAACTGCTGGAGGAGGAGAAGAGTCACCACCGCTCCGTCGCCCTGTGCAAGCTCCACTCAACCAGCTCTACTGAAACCAGTGACGTGCCACACGTGAAGCGAGCAGCAGATATGGTAAGAGACGGGCTCAAACACAACGCATGAATAAAAGGAAGAAGTGCCCTGGCTTTGGCAAGGGTTCAGCTTCCTCTTCTGAGTGCTTCTCGCTGTGTGGTACCACACCTTACTGGCTTCATCTGAATCCAACCGAAAGAGCTGGAATCCAGCCAGCAAGCTGGGTCTGCTCCTGGGATGGCCCCATCTAATAAAGAACTAGCCTCAACATGGCAGAAATGCCTTTTCCAGAGGTCTCTATGCAAACAGGAGGATATGAAGGGATGTTTCCAAGCACACCTCTTACAAGGGGATGGAGAGCTTTCAAAAGTAACACCCAGCAACTCAGACACAGAGAAATTAAAGTGATATTTTCAAAGAATTTAAATTCTAATGTAAACATGGGGCATGAGGCCAAAGAACAGCCACAGAAATACCACCAACACAATGGGAACAGAAAACCAGCCCTGCTCACCAAGATTCTGGGAATAGGATTTCAAAAGCAATAGCTGGAGTTACAGTCAAACTTGGGCAGTATTAGCTGGTCTGCACCTCAAAGGGGCTACAACAGCTACTGAATCCTGTCTTTATCAATCTGTGTACAACTGCTGAAAGAAACACTGATTCCCCACCTTAAAGAAATGATCGCCTTTGAAATTATTCCCTAATCCATAGGAATAATTCTCTAATCCATTATCTGTTAACATGGGAAGAGACTGACACAGTCCCTGTGCGAGCAGGAAAAGAAACCACCCAACCATGTATAGTCCTGAACTGCTTCCAATGTGAGCAGCTCACACCGGCTTCGGGTTGTCCCCATTGCAGAGATTTCAGTCACTACGGTCCAGAGATGCCCCACGATGATCTTCCCCATCCAGAAAGGCCAACGAGATACCATTCATCTGGTGATGCTACCAGGGGATTAAGTGTTTCCTCATGAGGTGGTGCTACAGGGAAAGTGAAAGTTTATGGTGACCACCAAGAAGAGGTGATGAAGCCTTTGGGGCTTTTTGACTGATAACACCATACCTGATTAAACAGCAGATCCCTCACCCTCCGCCCAGCTTCTGCAGAATGAGGTCAGAGACCTCTGCAGTGGGTGGTGCTGGAGGCACTGCAGCATCTAAACTTAACCTGCATGGAAACTTCCAGCACAAGCGACGGGCTGTGACACACACACACACGCAGAGGGCTCGGCTGTGAACTCCATCTGCCCTGCACAGGGACATCTTGTGACCTGCGAGGGGACACACGAGCCGTGGCACGTCTCCAGCAAAGAGAATGCCCTCCCACAGACAACAACACTGCTTCACCAAGGAAATTTCTGAGGAGCACAGAGCATTAATAACCACCGTGAGCTGTGCTCTGCCTTGGCTCTTACGCACACGATGGTTTTTAATTTAGGGGTACGCTGGGAGCTGGGTTTCATCTGAGTGATGACACAGATGTGGTTTGCCTCAAGTGTTTTGCTCCTGGAGTACAAAGATACCCCCTCAGCCCTGATACCAACTGATCACAGAATGGTTTAGGGTGGAAGGGACCGCATCCAGCTCCAACCCCCTGCCACGGGCAGGGACCCCTTCCACTAGAGCAGCTTGCTCCAAGCCCCTGTGTCCAACCTGGCCTTGAACACTGCCAGGGATGGGGCAGCCACAGCTTCTCTGGGCACCCTGTGCCATTGTCCCACCACTCTCATAGTGAAGAACTTCTTAATGTCTAATCTCAGCCTCCCCTCTGGCAGGTTCAAGCCATTCCCCTTGGCCTGTCCCTACAGGCCCTTGTCCCAAGCCCCTCTCCAGGTTTCCTGGAGCCCCTTCAGGCACTGGAGCTGCTCTCAGGTCTTCCCTTCAGGAGCCTTCTCTTCTCCAGGCTGACCCAGCCCAGTTCTCTCAGCCTGGCTCCAGAGCAGAGCTGCTCCAGCCCTCGCAGCATCCTCACAGTCTCCCATGGACCCACTCCAACAGCTCTAGCTCAGTTGAACTCAATCTATACCAGTGGTTTTGCATAAAAGACCAGCTCTGCCCAGCCTTCCGTTTCCAGCACTACTCTTACGCTGGGCACAGCTCTCATGTGGTGAACCCGACCAAGGAACTGGCCTGGCTCTGAACTAACTTGCCAGCAGAAAAGAGCAAAAACCTTGTGTT